CTGCGCTGCACCCCTTCAACACCGTCTCCCATTTTAGCGCATTCCTTTTCTCTCTCTCTCTCTCTCTCTCTCTCTCTTTCTCTCTCAAGCTTTCCCACCTTTCCTCCTTTTTCTTACTTGTTTTTAACCTAGCCACCTTCTTCCGTGACATAAGCGCGGCAAGCATTCGGTAGAGGAAAGTTTCGAAGTGACCTGCAACGGAGCAAACCCGTGCTGAAAACTTGCTTCTGACATCGTCGAGAAATGCAGCCGAGCGATTTCTCTCCCCCTTATCTATGCACCACGGGAACCTACTTTCCGAACTGCAATACACCGCGAGGAAATTCTTCGAGGAACCATCGTAGCGAGAACACGCGATGCCGGCGCTGCATCCGCTGACAGGAAACCGGGGAAACGTTACCAAACTGCCGATGAAACGAGCGACACGTTTGACTTTTGCCATTTCAATTCGAAAATCGAGCATCCGAGCTCGTAGCTTCATCAGAGGTGCCATTTGATGCTGGCGAAACTTTCGAGATGCTTTTGCTCAAAAGCTGGATGACGGCCCTCTGATTTTGATAATTTCTCCGTATATCAGAAACGTTTCATGCAGTTTTCCCGATTTTTAAGCAGTTTTGTCGTGTACATTCCATTTTTGAGTTCAGTGTCATTCGACGACTAATAAATTGACAAATTTACGAAAAATCAGTGTTTATCGATAATTTCATCGACTACAGCAAACGCGTGACGCTTTATCATCGAAATGATTAAACTCTAAGGAAAACTAGTGTTATTGGAAATCTTTCTCATAAATAAATTCAATTTCCAACTCGTTCTAAAGGTGATGGCAATTTCCAGTTGGGAAGGGGGATTTTTCGGCAACCAGTTTCAAGGTAACCAGTTTCATTCGCGTTGCGCCGCTACCCTCGACTTACGTATTCGAATACCTCCTTAGAAGGGGACATTATTGCGTAAGATAATTAAACGGAGTCGCTGGAATGGATAAATTAAATCGTCTACTATTTCTCGGCCCTGTAATTAGTCGTCTACCCAAAGCGCACTGTCAAAGAACACTTCCCTGCGCCCCGTTATCAAGAGACAAGCTGTTAATTAAGTGAACCATTCCGTCTGCCGCTGCAGGTAACAGCTTTCTGGATAACGGGCACACTTTTGTACAAGTGTAAATGCTCGCTGAGTCAGCCATCGCGAGAAGATTAGAAAATTCCAATGGGCGTATAGTTGCAAATGGCCGGCTAAATGGAAGTGAGTAATTATGGACAAAGGTATGGGAAGAATCAGTTCGAAAATGATCGCGAAAGAACGGGCCCCCGCTTAATTCGAAAGCCTTCGTGTTGTCCTCGAAACTAAATCTATTTCGGATACGAGGCGCGAGTGTCCCCGCGAGAGCTTCCCATACGTAGCAGGGATCACGATAGATAGACTGAGCGACTTCGATATGGATCGAAGAGCTAAAGAACACGCGTTCGAAAGACTGAAGACTGAAGACGGAAAACGTCAGAGGGGGAAAAGAGCGAGAGAGAAGTTTGTCGCGAGCATTGCGAGATTGGAAGTACGAGGCTAAGTCGCGGAAGCAGAGATATGGCAGAGCTTCGTGCAAGGCAGATAGAAGATATTCCACGGGGCGTAGACGGGATAAGTTATCCTTGTGTCTCGGGATGCACACCGACATTATTTCGTATCTTGCAGGACACTTCGAGCAATGAGGACGTCCTGCAGTGCACGCTGCCGGAATCCATAACGAGGTCTTATCTATCTTAGTCCGGCTTCCTTTTTCCTTTTTACTTCCTCCTCCCTCCCCCCCCCCTTCCAGTCCCATCTTCTTGCTTCCTTCCTTCGTCACTGCTGCGCACCGAGATCCAACTATACGCGTGTTTCTCTTTAAATTAGAACCCGCTTCAATATCCCTCGCCACTCTCTCCTCCACTTTAATTTCTCCGTCTCTCGAAATTGATGTCCGCTCGGATCTCCCGGGGAAGATGGAAGGCCATTCGTCGGGCAAACCGTATACCGCGTGAAATCCAACCGGAGCTTTCACCGATTAACGGCGTCGCGCGACAGTCGCGTTGCCAATCGGAGCGCAGAGTAATTGCAGGATTCAGATGCAATCAACACGCGTGATTTACTCCTAATATTTCATCCGACCGCCGGTGGATTGCCAAGCGAGGCAGCGAAGCGTTTTCGTTGGCGAATGCATTTTTCAAGACAAACAAGCATCGATTACATCGCCAACGTATGGCCAACATGTGGTATTAAACAAAAAAAAAAAAGAAGAAAAATGCAAACTGGTTCCCGATAATATTTTTCACGTTACAGTCTAGAAAAAAAATTTCCGGCGCCATGAGAACGGGATGAAAAAAAAAGAAAAAAAAAAAAAAGAAAATGCTACACCGGCCGTTATGCGAGCATCGCAACGTTTCGACGGAATGCTCCGCCATTTCCGGACGGACTTTTAAACCAGTCGTACCGTACGCTGTGCCGTACGTGCACCGGTTTCAGCTTGAACTCGGGCGGCGCGACCGCGTGTTCGTACTTTACGCGCCGCGGACCGCTAATAACAAACCTCGCGGAGTGATTACACGGCGTGATTTCGCGCAGATTGGACGAGTGATTAATTCTTGCGGACAATCCGCGCCACCGACCCCCCCCCCCCCGCTCCGCGCCGCGACAACACCGCCAGACCGTCGACCAGAGCCCTCCCTCTGCTTTTCCTCTGTTCGTCGCCGCCCTCTGTGGATTTGTCGCTCGTACCAACCCCCGGCAAGGATATTTTAATTCCGAAGCGGCGGCCGAGCGGTTTGAAACGGTTATTAATTCGTGCGTCGAGGGTCCGAGCACCGGTCCAGCACAGGGGGTGCGACGAAGAGGCCAAACGACGACGATGCTCGTAAAAACAACCCCATTGTTATCGCCGTCCCGTAGCTCGTTTCGCAGCGGGCGGCACTCGAATTGGCGCGGCGAGCAGGAATGAGAGAGAAACGAAAAGGAACGAGAGGCAAGGCTTCACGTGCACGTCGTGCGCGTTGCGACGCTCGTGCAACTCTTCGCTCCTGCAGGTATTACACCACGGTATGCGAGTGCACGTGTGCGCCCTTCCGTTATCGCGGAACAGTCGCCGCAACGCGATACCGCCGGTTCTCGCGATGCTTCTGCGGGAGCACGGAAGCTGGATTGATTTTTCGCCATGGTTTTTTCGCGGTGGAGCTACAATTTTCTTTTTTTTTTTTTTCTTTTTTTTTTTTTTTTTTTTTTTTTTTTTTGTGTAAACTCGAGAATACTGAAGTACCTGAAATTTAATACATTGTAGCACTTTACCATAATTCCTGAGTGCTACTTTGTCTTTTTTTAATTTCTTCAATGATTTATTTTCGCAAGTAAAATATCTATCTCTGTGCTATTTGTTTTACGTTCTCCTCTAATTGTATTATTTTGAAGCTACTTACTTTCATTCTTCTAGTCTGTTTCTACTCTATTATTTCTATATTTACTTTTTTTTATATGTTTTATTTCTTTATTTTTTCCTGTCTACTTTCTCCATCTTTTCTTAGACTTCTATCTACATTTTAAAATTGTTTTCTCTAAATATATGCTTCCTTTTACATTCCATTGCCATCTATTAAGTTTGTGATTTAGTCTGTTTTCACTACGTGACGTTTAACTTTTTTCTCATTTCTATACTCCGTCTATGTTCTATCTACCTTTCTCATTTCTTTTTCTTTTCTGAAACTATTCTCATTTATTCTTTACAACTATACTTAACTTTACTTTTCTCTTTTCTTCTCGACTTCTATTTTTATCACTGTATGTAAATATTAGTTTCATTCTTTCCCTTCTTCTTTATCGCTATTTCTTCGGTGTCTCTTTGACCTTTTTTCAAAATTGTATTTCATTTTATCTGTCTTTTCTATGTTTGTTTCTACTTTGAATTACATTCTTTTATCCGTTCAACATTGTAAATATCTCTTAGAATTTTCTATCCGTCTGTCTTTTGTATATCTATCTGTCTATTATATACTTGTATACAGTTCTTCGTTTCGTTTCTTCTCTTCAAACTTTTCTATTCTTCAAACTACAAATTTGCCTGCAAATTTATTCTGTATCTATCTGTACATTAATTTGATCTGCCTCTTTAAAAAAACTTCACATTTCTATCATGCCAATTCTTGGTTTTTTCTGTTTCAATTTCATTTTCCCAATTTCTAGATCTATCTTTTCTCCCTCTGGGTTTAAATTTTCTCTAAACCAAGTCCCTTCTTTCTCAGAATCTTTTCCTTCTCTTCATTTCTCTTTTCTTTCGTCTGCTTCCATCTACTTTATTTCTTTACAAAACTACTATCGCGAACTTCACGTCTGTATTTTCGCTTGCTGAAAGAATAATCAAAGTTATTCTTACCGAATCGTGACAAAGTAGAAAGAACGCGTCACTTTCGACCAGGAAATCGCGTCCCCTCTTATCTTTACTCACTTCTAGTCTAGTCTTTCCACCTGGATTTATCTTAAAACGAAAAACTATATACGAGAGAACAATGCGCAATTCTCATAATGCTGTGATTCTCAAGTGCTATAGTCGTCCACGCGAAATCTCAAGCTGTACATGGTTGAGGTTCCACTCTCTACTTTGCCAAGCCTCTTCACTCTCTTCTTTCGCGATTAAAACAACCAATTGCCTCCTGTTTCAGGATAAAGTTACCTTCAGCCTCTCTTGTAAAGTACAACAGTTGCTTGATCGATTCAAATAGCCAATTCTTTCAGATAAAATATGTCATCTGGAAAGAGAGAAATGAAATTAAAACGAAAAACGAATCGAGCAACTGTTGTCCACTGTGTCTCAACTATCTGTTTACAATAAACGATCTCTACGTCTCTGTCTTTCTTTTTGTGTACTCTACTCTACCTATACTGCTTCACCTGTCTTTGTAACTTTGTCTCTCTATCTCTCGTTTTCTCCTATTTTCTTTTCTTTTTTTTTTCCTCCTCCGCAACTACGAGAATTAAAACAGATTCTTAAAAATTCTATATTCCTTCCACTCGATCTTCGCTCGCTATCACAGCAGCTACGTTGTCGAGAAGTCTCTGACAATTTCAATCGAATTGCTATCTTATGATTGTAACGAAGGATAACTATCAGACGTGAGAGAAGCGTGCGCAGTAACTGTGAAACGGTGTACATTACGTTCGTCCTGTTTTTATTCAGTTCTAATTTCTGTAAAGTTTACAATAATAACACTGTTTTACGCATCACTTTGTTTTGCTTTCGGAATGGGAGATGTAAAAAAAATAGCAAAAGATCGGACTCAACTTTTATACAAAAAAAGAGAAAAAACAACAACAACAACAACACGAAATTCTTTAGAAACCTTCCTTCCTTCGAGAACGAAGATTCGTATCTTCCTTTGGTCAAATGTTGAGCTCCACGCTACCGCCTAGAAGCCCTTGGTAATTTTCCAGCACAGGATGGACCTCTTCTTCTAAGAATTCGAGCACCTGCTCGGGTGCCCTACCAACGAACGTTCGTGGATCCAGAAGATCGTTCAACTGGCCCAGGATCGGAGCAAAGTACGGATCCTTCTTGATTCTTTCGACCAGATCGTTGTCTTTGCCGTGCTGCTTCACCTGCGCGCCAGCTTCTTGAGACAGCACTCTTATTTTCTCGTGGCAGACCTGTTACAGCAAAAGCAATATACGTTTGTTGAATCAAAAAGAGAAATCTGATGCCATATTTTTATCCTTTCCCTCCTCTTATTTCAGAATTTGTTAAATTAAATTCAATTAAATTAATTTGATTAAGAGAAATTTAATTTAATTTAAATCTCCGCACGTTTCCACGTTGAAATACATAATAGAGTACAATCGGACGAATCTCTCTTACTTGTCTATCACCACCTGCTTTCACCATAGCCATTATTATATTTTCAGCGGTCATGAACGGCAGTTCTTGCGCGATATGCCTGGCAATGACTTTCGGATAAACGACCATGCCCTCCGTGATATTTTGAAGTGTCATTAGAATCACGTCCGCCGACAAGAACGCCTCAGACAAGGTGATCCTTCGATTAGCAGAGTCATCGAGGGTCCTCTCCATCCATTGAGCGGCTGCCGTTTGCAGAGCATTGTTGGCCAAAGTCATCAAGTGTCTCGCTATGCTGCAACACCTCTCCGAGCGCATTGGGTTCCTTTTGTACGGCATTGCGCTCGAGCCAATTTGAGTACTCTCGAACGGTTCCTCCACTTCTTTCATGTTCGCCAACAATCGAATGTCGCTGCAGATCTGTGGCAGAAGAGCGACTCAAAGTAAATGATCAAGTGAATCAAGAAAATCGTGTATTATTGTTCGTCTGTTGAGGTCAGCGATGCGATACCAATTTTCGACGCGGATGTGCCTTGGAATTAGTTTGTTAGATTAGAGATTTTTACACATCCGTTTAAATAGTTTAGATAATTTACAACCTTTTAAATTTCAGTTTGTTTTCCCGCACAATAGCAATTGCCATGTCACAAACTAAATATTGCGTAGGGACGATTTCCAGATTAGTAGTTTTGGAAATCTCCTTCATACTTCTTAATTGATCCTAACATTTCTCTCGCCCTACGACTCAATTTTCTTCAGAATTTTTGAAAGGGGAGACGAACGTCTTCTGAAAGAAATCTCTCAGGAGGAGAATCAATTTCAGTTGAATTAGTGAGTGTTCAATCAGTTGTCAAGCGTCTTCATTTTGCAGTTGGTAAACTAAATTAGGACGGATGACTAAATTAGTCAGCCTACCTGTAGCTTGGTCTAGAGGCTAAAATTAATCACTAAATTTAATTACAAAATAAATCTAATTACACTGAAGTCACTGGATTATTCGGTCCCATACAAATGAGTGATCTTTCGGCAGATTATTTGCGACAATTCAACTCACGAGCAGCTGAACGTTATCACGTTATTCTCTGCTCCGTAGAGGTGCGTGAGTTTATTCACCTTGTGCACGGTGGAACCCAAAGAACTCAAAGCGTTCAAGCATTCAACGTCGACTTTTCTGCTGTAAGTTTGCCCCGTCACGGGATAATGTTTCTCGAATCCTGCCATTTTGGTTACCAGCCGATCCAACTGCTTCACCTTCTCTCCGTCACCTGAAGAACATACGCCAGAGATGAAGAAATAAAATATTTTCTCGAATGACATTTTTCCCACCCAGATACACTCACCGTCGAACAATTGGAGAAACGAAGCCTGAGTACCAGTGGTGCCCTTCACTCCACGAAACTTCAAGTCGTCCCTGGCACGACGAAGAGCCCTCTCGTCCATCAGAAGATCGTGAAGCCACAAGGTGGCTCGTTTACCAACGGTCGTAAGTTGCGCCGGTTGGAGATGAGTGAAACCCAAGGTCGGTAAATCGCGATGCTGACGGGCGAATCCCGCGAGACGCGACAGAACGTTGGCCAACTTTGGCAGAAGAATGTCGAATCCTTGACGAAGAATTATCAAGTCCTACGAAAATCAGTGGATGAGTACATTCACATGTACAGAAAATGTAGCGCTCGTCTTACCGTGTTGTCACCGACGTAGCAACTGGTTGCACCCAAATGAATTATCGGAGCGGCGTTTGGACACTGGTTCCCGAAAACGTGAACGTGGGCCATGACGTCGTGTCTGGTTGCCTTTTCTTCCCTCGCGGCCGCTTCGAAATCTATGTCGTTCGCGTGAGCCTCCATCTCGGCGATTTGCTCCGGGGTGATGGCTAGACCCAGTTCCTAAAACAAACGTAATTGGAAATTACGTTGCTAAAAACTTACAATTAGCGTCACTCGAAGGACAGCTAAAGATTCAGAAATTTCGAGCTAAATAAACCACGTTGATTAGCGTCTAGTCGCTAAATCTTTCTAGAAAGTGCATTCAGACGAAAAATACGTATCCTCTTATTATCGCTCGCAGCGGAATTGAATTTTTGAAACTAAATCCTATACGGGTTAATTATTATGGAACGTTGGAGTTTTAACACGGTCAAAGGTCAGTTGACATTTAAGCAAACAAGGGATTAGAATGCAACGCAACATTTCAGTGCAATAATTTTGTCGAATTGATCGTTTCGAAGGAATAAGTGAAGCGTTCAAAAATGGAGCAACAATAAACGTTACATTTCAGCGGCGTCGAGGCGTGTTATCTTTAGCTTTCTACGCGTCTTATCCCTCTTTCGATGTACGGTGTATCATCTGATTAGATAAAGAGGACTCGGTGGTGCTGGCACGAAAGTACATCCAGCACGCTTTTGTTTCAATCAGTTTCAACCTGTGCGAGGTGTTCCGAACCTGTGAGAAGAGTTCGCGCAGGAAGATCAATCATGGTGTCTCTGGAAAGTGTCGCGGGCATAGTGATAAAAGTGTTTAAACTGGTGAGGAAAATTATTCTCTCTCTAACTAATCCTTTACTTGTATCAGAATCAAGCGAGAATCAAATCGATAATTCTCGACAGATAACAAAACGTGCAACAGATGATGAAATTGTGCCTGTAAGAATTTTTGAAAGAAAGTTTGAGCGACGATTCATTAGACGACGTTTCGGCCTCGGAATTCTCGCGACATCGTTCGTAAAATCGAAATTCTTCGTCTGTTTCGCAATCAGTGAAAGTTTCGAAAAGAAAAGCAACGATGGATTATTTTTCGTTTCAAAGCTGATTTATTTAGCGGGCTTCTAAACTTAGTTCTTATTTAGAAAAAAAAAAAAAAACCTGGCGGTTCAATATGCGTAGACTGTACGTCGAAATCTGATTAATAACATCCACCAATTAGCGTAACGTTTCTACGCTAATAATTCATCGGTAATCAGACTCATTCAAGTCACGATTTGATACACAGTTCTATGATTCATTTCGGTTATCGATGCACGATAACGATATTTGTAGTGAGATATGGCATTACAGTATCGCTGTATCAGAGTGTGTATCACTACTTTTTTCTTTTTACTAGAGTTACCTTTTTTTTTAGGAAGAATCAACAGAAACCGACTTTGAAAAGTTCCTTCGCCCCTGTACACGAGTTATGACACACGCATTCTTCTTCGTTTCAGGTTGTCAACATCATAATACTGATTCTGTATCGAACAGGATACAAGGGAGAGTTCCTGGGCGTAGGAGGAACGTGGAACTTGAACGAAGACAAAAATCCAGACGCAGAGATCGTCGCGTCCGGGGTTTTGGTGGGATTTTTCATTTACACCAGCGTCGTCCTCATTAGCTATTGTTTCGGGACTACTTATCACAAAAGGACACTAGTCGTAAGATCACTTTCACTTCATTTCAACGCTGTTTATCTTGCGATGAAAACTTACTGTACTTGGCAGTGAATATATTATTAAATAAATAGCATCCACTCTGGCTTTAATGGAGACTGATTTTCAGGAAATTATAATGAATTTCGTTGGGACGTTCATGTTCGTTGCTGTAGGCGGCACAGCACTCCACTATTGGCACGGTTATCAAGCAGAAAATAAATTCGACACCGTTGTCCAGGAACGACAGGTTAACTTAATTATTATTTAGATTATTTAGTACGCAATCGAAGGGGAAATTTATAAAGCTGAGGACTTCTGTCCTCATTGTTATTTCATACAACACTGTTGAGCTGACAGAAAATCGCAATTTCCTTCTTTTCTTTTTCTTTTTTAGGTGGGCTTGGCTGTCGGATCGTTGTGCGTTATCGAGGGCGCAGCGTATCTCGTCGATCTAATACTAAGTTTCCTGCATTTCGCGAAAAATCAGGGTGAATTTCTGGAATAAAGCCATGTATACATGTGACACATAGAATAGTAATCTCGCCACATCTCCCTCCCCTCAAACAGTGTCGTAACTGTGGTCTCCCATCGTTCGAAAGTTCAATACGTGTCATTCACAAAATCTCGAAACGTGCTAGCTTAGTTACGAGGATTAATTATCGAGTCAAAGATTAGATAATAACAGATATCTAATTGACAGAAATGTTGAAAACCCAAGGGGCACATATCGACGTATACTTGTTATTTGAAACAATTAGAATTTCGATCGTCGACGATGATGTATCATCGAATAGATGGAACGGCATATATTTAAGGGAATAATATTTAATTTTTGTATGACGTTGCTACATTCTTGTACATGATTTGATATGACAATTTAATATATACTTTTCAATTCGATTGTTTCGAATTTTGCGTACAACACACTGCCGATTTGAATTTGAAGAGAGAAAGAGAGGAGAGAAAAAAAAATTGAAAGCTCAATCACACGAATAAAGTAACTTGATGCGCAGAGAAAGTATTCGCAGACGATTCAACGTGTTTCGATATCACGATCGATTGCTTTCGTCGAATCTGCTAAACATGATCTTCACTCAAATACGCCGTCTTTTCAAGGATTTCAGCTTCCTTTTGAAAGTACAGGAAATGGTAAAGAAAAAAAAGAAACTCTTTCTCGCCCGAGAGAGAGACTGTCCGATACTTTCGGGAAATCAATCAAGATCTTTGGATCGTTTAGATCATAGCTGGTGTGTGCATTAACGAGCTGCTGAAGCGCAAGGAATTCACGGTACCAAGATGGCTGTGGGTCATTTATTGCATCGACGCGTCCACTTACTTTATCATCTATTTTTCCATCGCGATGACTCACGTATTTGAAAAAGCTCGCAGATTGCCAGTTAGTTTCACGCGACTTTTTTCAATAAGATCAATTTTTCTTCATAAATTCTAATCGAATAATTTCTACGTTTCTTTTTTTTTCTTTTTGAAATTGAGTAACTTGGTTTGAAGGAATTAAATATCGTACATTTATTTATTTTTCAACGAATACAACATCATCTGATACAGGTGATTTCTTTCCCAAGTACGTTTATCTTTTTTCCATATTTATTTGTAGGAATTCACCTTTTTCTCGCTCGGTGTGATACTCCATTTGATAGGTGCGACTGCAGGCCTGACGAGATCACAGCTCGACGATGCATTCGATAACTCTGATGTGCCGCGAAACGATTTCAAAATTGGCCTGTTACTGCTGGGTTGTTACCATATCTTTTCGCGATTCTCCTCGGCATAATTAACAGAAGGACTCTGTCTAAAGGATTTATTCGCTTTCAGCCAATTGTGTCGTACTGTTTTGCGAAGCTGCCCACATCGCTTACACGGAATATCCTAAAATGAAACCGTCTAGGAATATTTAATGTCAGCAGACAAACATTTATTTATAAAGGGAAATAAATTTCAATACGAAAGATAGTTGTTGATTTCGATTTCAATCGGATGAAAGAAAGATATCGATTCGCGGAAACTTCTCGGCGAGTTCAGTCGGAGAACGTGTTTCGAAACAAACTGTCGCCGTGAATTCCGTCATCGGTCGTAAAGTTCTGCGAATATCGTGACACATTGCGATAAAAGAATATTTCTCCAAAAAAAAAAAAAATATACGAATAATGGGCAACCTACCAATTCAGATTAATAATTTCAGATTAATAAACGCGTGGACTCTCGAGAAAAAGTTGCTAATATGGAGGACAATAGCCCTGGTGAGACTTAAAGTACAAATGTCGCGAGAAATCGAGACACAGAATAAATACAGAATAAAGTTTTCTGCTTTCATAGTCTGCTTGCATAATAGGCACGGTGGTGTACATGCGACCATTGGAGCCGTACATAGAGGCACCGATCTTCGGAGTTTTGGTACCCACGTTCATAACAGGTTATGTGCTCATACACTCGTCCGACATTTTGCTTCTGACGATGAGAAAAGATTATGTGTTTCTCGTGAGTAAGTGAAAAGCGAAGTATAATCGTTGAGCTGGCCGGCGGAACGCTAGAAGGAAGAATCTCCAAACAAAAGTTAATAATTATGTTTAGGAAGCATGGTTCGTTGTAATTGGAGCAGTTGGAAGTCTGACGTGCGGCATTTACCAATTCTACAAGTGGATCGAGTGGGTGGTTAATACCGCGCCCGATCCCAACGGAGACAACAAGTACGTACAGCTCCACTGAAACCACGCGTGACTGTTTTGTCCAAATTCCTTTCAACTCGAGAATTCATTTTTCAACGAAATTTTTATTCCAGTATCCCGGAATTGGTGCTAGCCCTAGCCTTCCTTCTCCATTTCGTCTGTTTGTGCGCCATGATGGCTCACCGTATTCTCGAACGGTATCGAACTCGCGAGCAATTATAATATAATATACTGGCGCAAGCAAAATTTTCTCCCCGACACGCATCACACGACATCGAGTAGGTGCAACATTTTTTTTGGAGACAGCGGGCGAAGATCTATTGATAAAATTCTCCTGCAGCGAGTACGCACGGCTGAGGAATTTGAAAGAATTCGCGAATGGAAGGCGAGAGGAAAGAATGAGTCACGAACGAAGACATCGCTCACGCAGCTTTAGTCTAAGTCTCGCATGAACAAAATGCCGAGCGACGTCGAAAAGGGTTGCAATAGCGGGCCGTCATATGCATCAATTAGTCTACTTGACCTCGTGATCGTCGTGAATGACCGGCATAATCGTACACCCACGATCCGGATACACAATCGCGTTAATTAGGGATGCTTCTGATGATTTAACTTCTCCGGGCGAAACTCCGAAACTCCGAAGCTGCGAGTTATGAGAATACGTATGAAATTGAAAGTGAGGATGGAGAAACAAATAAATCGGTGTTAATAAAATCGTTTCTCTAATAAAAATCGTAGCAATTGCGCAACGTGTAGAAATAGTCAGTTTCACGACGCGACGTTAACGAAGCAATGTTGAACGTAACGATAATGCGATCTGCCAAAGCGGAAATCACGGCGCGCAGTTCAAGATCGATACGAAGATCGCGTAATCGCGTTGATGAAGAGCCGCACCTACTGACCTAGTGAACACGTGATCTTACGCACGTTTGTACATTGTGCATCATCCACAGTGTGTACGCTGATATCCACACCTGCATGAGTGATTGTGTTTAGACACGTTACGTATGATATATATACGTATGTATACATATATGCGCGTAGTGTAGTTTTTCCGTAACAGGAGTAGCTACGTATTAAGACTATTACGCAATTAGAAAATAATCTGCCCCGTTGGTACAAGTCGGATCATTCGCGATGCATCAATACCCTTTTCTCTCAATTATAGCCAATTGAAATTGAATTTCCTTGTTTAACTGTGCCATGTTACAAAAGTTTTGGATTTCTTTCTGTCTTCGAATTAACGCGAATTTCAATTCCGCGATTGTCTTTTTTTCCAAATCGAACTTTCACTGTCGCCGAGGCATGCAATTACGCGCAACTAACTTGAAACATGTTCCTCGTTTTGTATTGCTATCGCCGAACTTGAAATTACAGCTTGCGATAGAACTTTACGGTCGATATTGGACATAAGAGGGCTGTCCACGACAACGTTCCACATTTAGCGTGCACGTACGTACGTAGGATTCAACGATTCGTCCCTGCTCGCTTGTCTTAATATTAGCATTGCATATTCATCGTGTCACGGCCGGAGTTTCCATACGTGGTACTTTTTATCAGAAGTTGTCCCCGCGGGTCGAGGGAGTATCCGCTATCGTTTCAAACTTTCCGCGCTTGGTTTAGTAACGCAACCTACTTTAGCCTCGCCTTTATTAAAAATATATCGCCGCGTATCGATGTATGGAAACACGAATGAAACCAAAGAATGACGTTCTATTTTCTATTTTTCAATCCAGCGTACTCGTGATAACGAAGCATGAAATTTCCATCAGGAGACGTTCAAGTCGAACGAATGGTGGAAACTTTGGGATACTTTATACTTTCACAAGCTTCTCTGTTTATACATCACGCGAGAAATAGCTTCTCTAACGATAAAACGAAGAGATCTTTCGCGTCTATGAAATCGATTCTGGTTAGCGTCAATTCCATTCTCGTGCACGATTAAAGAAAATTGATCGCGTAACGTGGCGTGAGCGCGCGATAGCGTTCAATAAACGATACCAATTCCCCCAATTCATTCGAGAAAATGTATCGCGCGCGAAACGCGATACATGAAACGGAGGGAAAGGGAGCCGCACGGGAATTACCTCACGAGTAAGTTGCCCAAGATGGTAATACGATTCGATGGTAATATTGGCCGGCGCGCGATTTGCGATCGGCGAAGAAAATCCTTTATGCCAACGCTCTTGAGCTGATCCCACTTTTGCTCGTGCATGTTTAATCGCGACGCCGAAGGTTTTCGTGCACGTGTACACATCCGCAATACGTCCACGCAAATTATACACCGTGAGTCACGTGAAGTCCGTAGAACGCACCGATGCATACCTTCCGACGTACCGACAACACGTGCTCGCGAATTAAATACCTCGCCCTTCGTCACAGGCTCCGATTACCAGCTCCCCCTAGCCCTTTCCCAAATCGCCACTTCGAAAGAGAGTCGTAATTCTCAGTTGGAGAATATTTTAGCTTGTTGCGATTCTAGTTTGGAAATATTCTAATTCTCTCTCTATTTATCTGTCTATCAGCCCTTTACCAAAATCATCACTCCGAAAGAGAGTCGTAATTCTCGGCTGGAAAATATTTTTAATTTGTTGTGATTCTAGTTTGAAAATATTCTTATTCTCTCTCTATTTATCTGTCTATCTCTATCTATCAGTCCTTTCCTAAAATCGTCACTCTGGAAGAGAGTCGTAATTCTCAGTTGAAGAATATTTTAGCTTGTTGTGATTCTAGTTTGGAAATATTCTTATTCTCTCTCTATTTATCTGTCTATCAGTCCTTTACCAAAATCATCACTCCGAAAGAGAGTTGTAATTCTCGGCTGGAAAATATTTTTAACTTGTTGCGATTCTAATTTGGAAATATTCTTATTCTCTCTCTATTTATCTGTCTATCTCTACCTATCAACCCTTTCCTAAAATCGTTACTCTGAAAGAGAGTCGTAATTCTCAGTTGAAGAATATTTTAGCTTGTTGTGATTCTAGTTTGGAAATATTCTTATTCTCAATCCTTTCTCAAATCGTCACTCCGAAAGAGAGTCGTAATATTCGGCTGGAAAATATTTTTAACTTGTTGCGATTCTAATTTGGAAACATTCTTATTCTCTCTCTATTTATCTGTCTATCTCTACCTATCAACCCTTTCCTAAAATCGTTACTCTGAAAGAGAGTCGTAATTCTCAGTTGAAGAATATTTTAGCTTGTTGTGATTCTAGTTTGGAAATATTCTTATTCTCAATCCTTTCTCAAATCGTCACTCCGAAAGAGAGTCGTAATATTCGGCTGGAAAATATTTTTAACTTGTTGCGATTCTAATTTGGAAACATTCTTATTCTCTCTCTATTTATCTGTCTATCTCTACCTATCAACCCTTTCCTAAAATCGTTACTCTGAAAGAGAGTCGTAATATTCGACTGGAAAATATTTTTAACTTGTTGCGATTCTAATTTGGAAATATTCTTATTCTCTCTCTATTTATTTGTCTATCTCTACCTTTCAGTCCTTTCCTAATATCGTCACTCCGAAAAAGAGTCGTAATATTCGGCTGGAAAATATTTTTAATTTGTTGCGATTCTAATTTAGAAATATTCTTATTCTCTCTCTATTTATCTGTCTATCTCTATCTATCAGTCCTTTCTCAAATTACCACTCCAAAAGAGAGTCGTAATTCTCAGCTGGAGAATATTTTTAACTTGTTGCTCTATCAATCTCTCTATTATGGGATCGTTTTAAGTTTGCACGAGTCTGTAGACTCGTAATGAGGCTTCATTCGTTGAGAACGCAGGGTTAATTCAATTTCTGAAGAACTCGACAGTTCAAACTCGCGATTGCAGAGATTTAAAATGCTATTCTTGGCGAAGAAGTCAAGATTATTTAATTTGGCTAATTTTACATTCAATTTCTGTTTCGTCGACGTTTTTCAAATCTTCAAATCTTTGAGTTTCATTGATTTCTTAATGCGTTTAACGTTTACAAAGTACACCTGGTTTTGCCAGTATCACACGATGTTAGTGACTGCGACGATCACTCGAGACACGCTTGCCTAATTGTTGGCAGACCGGCTGTGCAGCCGGCGTTACAGATATTCCTTAATTAGTTTTGTCGAACGTAATACGAAATATGAGGCAAATATGTCGGCTACATCATCGACGTAAATCGAGTTCCATCAGAATTGTTCCTCGCTTCGAACGATTTAACCGAGAGAAGAAGGAGTTTGTGTCCCGCCCACAAACTCAATTATTCTCTCCTCTGCAACGAAATATATTTCAGGACAAGTGCTATACTTGTCTCAAAGGTGGTAAAAATTAAACGATGCTTGCTTTGTACGACAAAGAATCTGTCAAGTGTTAATACACAGTAGATGACAGAAAATATTCGATACTCACAAATCATATCACTTTGTCAGAAAAAATCGCATGTACATCAATAAATTTTGAGGAATTTTTGTAAAGGGGAGACCTCGATCTTTAGAATCACAGTTATGAAAAGAATTTCTCAGTGTGCAAAATTTTCAAGAGAAGGAGCATCTTTACTCTCTTCAAAATGATGTGAAACCATCTTTGGAAGAAACAAGCTCGGCACTGCGAAAATACAGGTTTCTTAAAAATGAATCTAGATTTTGTATCCACTGTGTATTAACATTTCTCAGATTCTCCGAGAAATCTTCTAAACAAATTCTGAAATAATACACTATTTTATCAAATATTATACAAAGCACATCAATTTGTCTACTATATTTTTTCTTTTTTTGCATCTTTCTTCAATCGACTTGCACGAGTACTGAGTACTAAAATTAGTAAAAAAATTCTAAAAAAGATACACTATTCTACCAAATATTTTGCAAAGCACATCAATTTGTCTACTTTATTTTTTTTTGCATTTTTCTTCAATCGACTTGCACGAGTACAAAGTACTGAAATCAGTAAAAAAATTCTAAAAAAGATACACTATTCTATCAAATATTTTACAAAGCACATCAATTTGTTTACTTCATTATTTTTTTGCATCTTTCTCCAATCGACTCGCACGAGTACTGAGTACTGAAATCAGTAAAAAAATTCTAAAAAAGATACACTATTCTATCAAATATTTTACAAAGCACATCAATTTGTCTACTTCATTCTTTTTTGCATCTTTCTTCAATCGACTCGTACGAGTACAGAGTACTAAAATTAGTAAAAAAATTCTAAAAAAGATACACTATTCTATCAAATATTTTGCAAAGCACATCAATTTGTCTACTTTATTTTTTTTTGCATCTTTCTTCAATCGACTCGCACGAGTACAGAGTACTAAAATTAGTAAAAAAATTCTAAAAAAGATACACTATTCTACCAAATATTTTGCAAAGCACATCAATTTGTCTTCTTTATTTTTTTTTGCATTTTTCTTCAATCGACTTGCACGAGTACAAAGTACTGAAATCAGTAAAAAAATTCTAAAAAAGATACACTATTCTATCAAATATTTTACAAAGCACATCAATTTGTTTACTTCATTATTTTTTTGCATCTTTCTCCAATCGACTCGCACGAGTACTGAGTACTGAAATCAGTAAAAAAATTCTAAAAAAGATACACTATTCTATCAAATATTTTACAAAGCACATCAATTTGTCTACTTCATTCTTTTTTGCATCTTTCTTCAATCGACTCGCACGAGTACTGAGTATTAAAATCAAAACCCTTTGAGACCCTCGAGCGTCGATGCGTGTGCTCCAACTATCATAAAGCAGTGACTAACTGTGTTGAAAGTAACAGCAGCGGAAAGAATTTCCATGACTAAGAAAGAGCAGAACGAAACAACAAGTCCACGAGTGACTATTGCGTAACGAGACTTTCCTGGCCGGAAAAACAAGGATGAAAGAGAAAAGGCGGTGGCAAGCCGATCCGATTCGATCGGGCGTGGAGAGACATTCGATAAAACGAAATTAGAAAGACGTTATGGTCTTCTTCGTGAAATTGGGGAGCAGTGGCGGCGATCGAGGAGCGAGCGAGTGTGCGACACGGTCACACAGTGAACCTGGCTAGCAAAGTCGGTTGGTTAGACAGCCTGCGCAACTTGCACGTACGGCGTAGCCTCTCGCAGTGTGTCACGCTTGGCGTTCCAGTTTAAGTTGGTCCGCCACACGGTGTGCAACTCTGCCGTGCTTCTTCCAGCGACCAACCACATCGCATTCGATACCACCGTCTCGCGCGGCTTGACTTGCAGCAAAACGCGCGTCCTTGCATCGATCGATCGATCGTGACTATTCCATATTTCCAGGATCCTCTTGGTTTCGCCTTGGCTCTCCGATTTCACGTCGAAAGAAGTTTGACGTTTGACTTGCGACGTTGGGTAAAAAAGGCTCGTGACCGGAGAGAGTGCATAGTTCGATTTCGGAGCAAGTCCATTCGGTGTTTTCGCGAGCAACGCGTTGAGAAAGGTACGTATTTAGTCACAAGTACGACTTAGTTTGTCTTTTCTGTTCAAACCTCCTCGATCGACACTCCCAACGACATCTAACAAGTCGCGTGGTGAAATAAACTCACGGCTTCATTTCTTCTTTTTTTTCCCACAAACCGAGTATTCTGTCATTGAATCATGTTTTCTATGATCGTATGAGTCAGAAACGTTAAGAATGCTAATCCCCGTACGGAGAGAATTACGTAGAGCGTGTAAGCAGGCGGACTTGTGTTTACGATGTTCCGCACGATTTCAAGACAACAAAAGAACGAACGATCCGAGCGAGAGCGAAATTCGAGCGACGATCTTTTTTTCAAACGTGCGACAACTTTGTCAGACGCTGGGGCACATGTTCGAAATTGCTTTTCGCGCCCGCCCCGGCCTCCAATTTTTATGCGAGTGACGTAGATATTTATCGTGTGATATTTGTCACCGCCAAGGTTCAATGCTCTTGATGAAGGGGGATTAGAAGCAAGGGGTTGGAAAGGATTGATCGTCGGACAAAGGGTAGACGCGAAATCGTTCAAACTGGGTGACGGTAGAGGAAAGCATCGCAGAGTCAGAATGGCAGACGAGAACCAGCAGGAGAGCCAGCCTGCTCCTAAGGAGCGCAAGCTGATGAGGCACATGCCCCTTCTGATGAAAGTGTTGGAAGTTGTAAGTACTCTCCTCCCCTGTATACGTCAATTCACCGTCAATGTAGATCAAACATTTCCAGATACACGAGATTTGTACATTTGTTTTTTACTTGTCACAGGTTTTGGCTGTGTTCGCGATCGGATTGATCGTCGATCCGCTAAACTCGTTCCAGAGGATCTCGATCAAGACCCATTTCAAACTGGACGATGCTGCGATCATCTACATCACTATCGCCGGTTTCCTGATAATCAACACACTGTTCATCATTTGCCAGCTGATGGGCGATCGAATACCGAAGAGAACGGTGAGTCGTGTCTATTTTAAAAAATACTCTCTGTCAGAGTAGTGAAAATGACCAGTTTATAATTTTTGTTATTATAATTAGATGAACAAAGGACCGTGCATTTTTTCATAGCGTAGAATCGCGAGGCGACTATAATAACCGCAATCAACAAATATAGAATTCTCTAAGTCGAAAACTTCTCGTCAGCGCGAACGATCTATTTCCTGAATTTAGAATGTTTATGTCTAATTGTAAGGATAACAGTTTGCTCACTTTTTCATTCTCACTGACGAGAAGTCACGATTATTATTATTGTTGTCATCACCGGTTGACGGGGGCCTGTTTGATTTAACGTTCTCCAAAGGCAGATTATCCGTAACAATATTCAAAATAACATTACGTAAGTTCGCCTAACTCAGGACAGTCGAACGGCCGTTCGTTTAAATTGATTGGCTGTGAAATTCGCCAATGAAAGTTTACAAAACAGCTCGAAAGGCAGATAGACAGATGATAGACGATCGTAGAGAGCAGCGGTTAAAGTTACGCAGATATACAGTTTAGTTTTGTCGCGATTTAAAAGGACGTAAATTAGAATTGCAATTAGACCGCCAACTACGGAAAAGGTCCCATCGTTTCAGCGCGTCTGTACGAGATTAAGTTTGAGTACAGACGATAAACCGAGTTTATCGACTTAACAGGTATTTTTTTTTTTTTTTTGTAAAATATACAAATAGAAGCTTGTGTAGTTCATTATGAAGTCTTCTTTTTTTCTTTTTTTTTTTTACTTTAATGTCTCTGAACTTTTACGAAATTTTATGCTTTCATTCACGGAAGAAATCGGCTTGAAAAACGAGACAGTAACAGTCATCGAAATCAGGCTAATTGATCGTGAATTTTTGCGGCCAGAAAACAAATTACGTGACGGACACATCCAACGATAAATAGACGGACAATGCTGTGATCAAGGGCTCGCGTGACGATCGGCAAAGGACGAACGGTCAGGCATCACGTCAGATTCATTTCCTATCATTTTTTTTTTTTCTCTCAACGTAAATCTACTAACAAGGTCGGAGTTTTATTCTGTCGTTTTATTGGTTCCCGGTTAGAACCCCACCCTTTGGTTTGCTAAATCATTGCAGAAACCATTACATAGCCAATAATTAACGAACGTCCTTCATTCTTGTCGGTGGAATTGTTTGCACGTTTCTCAGTGCAAATAAATTGACAGATATAATAGTTGTAATAGTAAATAATTCACGGAGGAGAAATTTCTGTTTTAACAGAAACAGATGTGGAATTTTCAAAGTTGAAATTTCAAACTTTATAAATACCACTGTCGGGAGAAAATTCGCCAAGTATTCGACGCGAGACAATGATGAAGTGGCTCGTGAATGACAATGAGCCAAGCAAACGGCCTCTAACAACTCTATCGATCTATTCTACTATATCTTCGATATTATCTGTAAACTGTAATTTCACAGAGCAAAATGCGGACACGAAGTTAATTGAACTCGAACGATTTAGAATTCGTCGTTAGTCAGAATTTCACCTGCGATGAATCTAACGAAATTACGGCGCAAGATCTAATAACATTTCTAAAATTCCTGGGCGCTCGTGTTAAAAATTGGGATTAGAACGTTCCGCCTCGACTTAATTCCAAGCCCGTTCGAAATCCACGCGTGTATGTGTCCCGTTTCGCCTCGCGATTAAAATTCATAACTTATCAACGTTCGCGTTTCCATACAGTTTATCGACCACTTGCTTTACGATGTTTTCCGTTCACGAAACAATCGGAACTCATAGTATCTGGGACTGGGTAATCGAGAAACGCGATAATTATTGTCATTCGTGTCGTACAGTCGTGATAACACGTAGAATAATCGCGAAAGTGAACGACTCCGTGGCCTCCTTTGGATGAACGCGAACAATTCTCGAGGCGGGCGATACACTCGCATGAAAATTTCACTTGTAGATAATTTGTGTAATCGAAAGTATCTTGATAAGTATAATGTATATAAAAAGTATTGATTGACAGATCGAATGTAGATAGTACGAAATCGAACCGCTGAAAATTACTGAAATTAATTCTGCAGAAACTCGGAAGAGATTCCAACCAGTCGCGCTGGCAACTGATTGCGGACCATAACGAGTGACCAGCACCGTATACAATAACTCGTCGCTTTCTTTTCGAACTCGTCGGTATCGTACGACATCACTGGATAGAAATTACTGAGACGTAATAAATTTATTATTTGTTTCGCCTATTTTGTTTTGCTTAAATGTACTTGATAACTGAGAAAATATTACGATTTTGGAACAAAAAATTCTCGACGTGCGTGGCACGCCATTCCAGCGCAAGAGAGGTTAATTCCGGATTTCTCTTCGAACGTTTCGTACTATAATTTCGAGCCGAACGTGTTCACCCTCGCAAAAAAAAAAAAAAAAAATGCGAGTAGAAGCAGACCGCATGGATCCCCGATACGTCTCCAAGTAACATCGATCCGCTCTGATTGCAGTTGATAGTGTTCTCGTCGGTCGGCGCGCTGCTGCACATCGTGGCTGGGAGCATAATTGTCTATAATTGGAGGAAGATTCTCGGCCCTTACTACAACAACAACGAATACTATCCGAGCAAACAGTACATGGACATGTTCATATCTGGCGCGGTGTTCACGTTCGTCAACGCGGTGGTTTTCTTCCTGGAGGTGTTCTTCATTATTTACACGAAGAGCATCGAGTGATGGAAAATGATGAGAAACGACGACGCAATCTTTAGATTAAGAGGAAACGCGTACGAGACACATTCGTAAGAGGAATTTGACTCGCAAATACGTCCGACGCTGCTGGCAGAGGTAAATCGTCAACGAGTTCAGGAAATGCATGAATAATTGATTTTACGGAAATGAGAAACGAGTGCAAATTGCTCGATATTAAGAATAATAACGAAATAGGGTTTGGCAGTTCAAATCATAGGATAATCTGAAAAGTTGCGTATCGAACGAATTTCGTAAAAAAACAATGTTATTTATATAGAGACGATTTGTTAAAAATTGTCAAGACACGTTGAAAACACAGAAACAGAGAAGAGTTGAAAAGAGGTTGAAATGATTTTCCCACCGAATGTGTTCTGGATCGTGCACTGAAAAGCGATCGTACACCAAAACGTCCAAAAGAAAAAAAAAAAAAAAACAATTCACGAGCCAAATATTCAAGGATTAATCGTAAGTTCCGATTCCGTCCGATCGTTTTCGACGAAACGTCAATTTAGATGTCAGACATTTATGAACAAATGTACAAACAGCACAGTGAATGAATTTCTACACTGTAGACCGTAGCTTTAAACGATGTGGGTTAGAATAATAATAATGTTTTAAATCAAATAGAATTTTTAGCATTGATCGCTTTCTTTTTAAGCAACATTTAGGAAAATCGAGCAGTTAACAATCCAAAGATTTTCTACGTTACGTGTATTTCATATTTTTAAAAGGCTATCTATAGAGATCTATATATTAAATATAATATATATACATATATATTTATAATCCAAAGTCTGTACAATTAGCGTAGCATTCTATTTAAGTGATATAATCGATAATCTGTACTTCTTACCTGTATCATATGTGTTTTATATGTGTTACGAATCTCAGAATTGCCATGAATATTTTAGATTTAATTAGTAAAAGTTATAGATTACTTTTTATATATTGTTAATTCTAACTACAATCGTAGCATTAAAAAAAAAAAAAAGAAACATTACAATTTCTCTTTATCACACGTTTGTCAACTTCTAGATCTATCGTATAGATTTAACAGAAATTCACGTGTCTTTATCAAAAATTCCGTCCAATTTTTAACATTATTATTAGAAGTCTTGTAACGCAAGATGTTGGCGAGTTAACATCTTTACATCGACAATCACTCGCGACGTAATTTTATAAAATGTAAAATCTATCGTTGAGAAATATATAGAAAGAAAAACTTATTGTAGCCGTATGCCATATATATAGTACATGTACAAAACAAGCGATGGACAAATAAGAAATGTTTTATTATTTGATTTTCAGTTCCAAATCCCGAATCCGTTGTCCTTCGACCAATAGCAAGTTCTGATTCAACGAAACTCATTTAGCACGATCACGAGTCACTCCTCTGAATATGATCTCGGGACGAAAAGACGTTGCAAGTCTATCGATAGGCGATGCATCGATGTAACGCGGCAATAAACAAAAAACTGGATCACGCGTGAAATGTCTGATGAACGAATGATTGAGGTTCGTTCGATGACAGGAAGCTGATAAAACATTTCAAAAGCCGATGATCATGGAGGGCGAAGGTTTCTTTATTTACCATCTATCCTCCTCCCGCTTTTGCGCCTCATCTTGTTACGCGAGACCATTTTTTTCAGCTCCGAAAGAGAAAAAGGCGCGTCCCTTGAGTGAAAAGTCGAGCTCTAAATGGAGATCGAGCGATTACGGAACCACAGTAATTCGAATAGCAATAAAACCAATCAGAATATTCCAATTCGTGAGTATCGATCGCAAACTATAGTGGCAACTACGTAACCCTAAGATGAAACTGGCCCTTTTCGTCGACTAGCTGGTGGTACTTCTCATCTTTCTACTTGTCATTTACACGACAAACCTACCCGACTATACCATACCGTCCATAATGTGCATTCTACTGATGGCCATCTGCGGAGTTTACGTTCTCGTCTTGTCGATCGATTTAATTACCCAGTTCATCGGTGGAGAATTGAACATGATGCCGGTGATCACATAAAAAAAAAAAAAAAAAAAAGAATTGCTCAAACTCGAACACGAGACATTTTCATTGCAGATGTTCCTCTTCTCCTTGCTGGGATTGATATTCTTCGCGATCGTTGCGTTTTATCTACTGCTCGTAAATAGGCCTTTGACGTGCCATCTCGTAACGATGGGCTCTCTTTCCATCATCGCGTTCATCCTCTTCGCAATCGACGTTTCGCTGATACACGTGTAAGTTCCGCGTTTCGACAGACACGCGACTCGATCCACTGACGTGCGCCTGCACTGTGTTTCGTGTTCAGATTTCGAAAACATACCTGCGATCTTTGTCAGCCGTGTTGCTGCGCGAGGCCGGCTGATGCGCTGTTTCAGAAGAAGTTCTTCGACCCCCTGTGCACCGAAGTAAGTTGGAGGAATTCAAAGGGGGAAGAATCTCTGTCGTTTCGAAATAAAATTTGTCCAATACGAAACGAATCTCGTGACAATTTTCTGCGTAACGTTACTTCGAAGCAATCTATGTTCCTGGATTGTCGCGTTTCTTTTAAGGTGTCTCTCTACAATCTAGACGATCAAACGTGACCTGACGACCAGCGTCAGCCGCATCAAGATACCCATCGACGAAAAAGACGCAGTGGCCGATCACAGAGAGAGAGAGGTCAGAGTGGCACATCGACGACAGTACGTCGATTGTCCGACCAGTGCTCGGACGTTGTGCGACGTGGAAGTTGCCGACGTTCAAACGGATGACAAGAAAACGTTGAGCAAAAAGTGCCAAGTAATTAGCGTACTAATTCTAAGTATTGGATAATCAGTCATCACTGATAGCTACGAACATATTTTGCCAGACTCGGCTGGAAGTGAAAGAGGTGCCGGCGCAAACGGTGAGCAGATGCGAGCTATGCAAACGTGCTATTGAGCTCACGGCAAGTCCCTCAGTTCAGCCTACGACGCAACAGCCATCCTGCATTTCTTATCCTGCGTTTGTGCAGCTCCTTCGAGGATCAACAACGTGCTGTCCAGGGTTAGTAATACTAGCCAGTCGTCCTCTACTATCAACTCTTTCGCTCTTTAGTCTCTACGACGAAGAATGATCTCGCTGTGTCATACGAGTGACTGTTGAGAAAGTGTTCTTAAGTTTCTCGTAATTTCTTGTAATTGAAGAGCGAAATAGTTTTGGAATTTCCCTCCCACGAAATTCCGCGAATGAGATGTTACCTCTTTCGTAGATCGTAATCATTTTCCTTGTACGTTTTGTCAGGTGTAGGTGTGTCACAGGTATAATTCAAATGTCGCAGCAGCAGCAAACGCAGCGGTTGGAGCAATTGAAACAGGACGATGAAACGACGAGGGAACAGCAAGTTACCAAGAGATCCTGCGACTCGTTGACGAGTGAGAAAATAACTCGCCTGTATCAGGTTGCGAGCGTTAATTAAATAGACGGCAAACGCATGACTTTCCTTAGTATGAAAAAATAATACAATTATATATCCGATATTACCATAAAACGTTCAGAATATATCACGAATGGAAAAGTGGTTATTTCTTCGATAAGTGAGAACGACGACCATGTACCTCGTGATCCATCAGCGATATTGACATTTAATTTTTATAGAGTGGGCCAAAAGTTTCTTTCCACCTACTTTTTTAAATGAAACATCAGAATATAGGAGAAAAAACTAACTTTTAAATTAAATCTAAGTTCACACAGTTTTAAAAATTATTTCTTTCAAACGAAGACCGTCCGTAAATTGATAGAATTACGGATTTATCTTCGTAGGAAGTGATTTTTGGGCTGTCCTGTATTGTGAAATGAATTAATTACTAAGCTTTCTTGCTTTCTTCAAGAACGCACCAAGCCTGAAGTGCAAGATCCGAAATTAACAGCAGTCTCGGGCACAATCACCAAGCTGACTCTCGCTTCTTACTGCGTCGCGCCCAAGAAAACAGACGCGTGTTGTCAAACGTTTAGGGAAGCGTAAGCTTTATGTTTCGACAAACACAAACAAACAAACGCCTCCCTCTTGATTAATCATTATGTATTGCTTCGTTTCTCCACGCGGGCGCGTGTACTTGATAACAGGGAGAAAGACAAGTCGGAACAAACGAGGAGGACGAGGATCACCGCAGTGAGACTCGACAAGAGGACGAAGAAGATGAGAACAGCGAGTACCGACACAAAGAAGCTAAAATCTCCAGTGAGGATCGTGAAACCCTTGCCAGAAAAAGTGGAGAAGTCTTTCAATAAAGAAAATTCCGATACCGAGAGATCGACGCTGTTCAAAACCTCGACATGTCTTTTGTTCAAATCTTCGGACAGTGCCGACTCGAAGTATTCTCTGGTCAATTCGTCGAAAAGTGACAAAGAGATAGATACTGCAAAGAATAGCTCAATTTGTTTGAAAGAAATCAAGGCAACGAAATCGGTTTCGAGCTCGAACTCGAGCATAAACAGGGGTAGCAGAAACACTGCAGGAAAAGACAAACAGCAGAAGACAGACACAATCGCTGGCAAAGGAAGCGAGAGGATCGCCGCGACGATGCACGAAGGAAGTTGTGAAAAGAAATCAAAAGGAAACCCAGAAGACAGTGAGGTTTCCGATGATGAATGCTGTAAATCGATCGTGGAACATTCGGTCAGCGAAATTGACGCGGGAGCTCTCTGTCAAATGGAAACGCAAACGTAAGGAATGATTGTATCTGCGTATCTTATTGTTAGTAATGTGTATCTTGTATCTTTGTGATATTTTAGTTTCGAAAGTTCTCAAATTTCACGAGTTTAGGTGACAATCGGTTGATAGATTTCTGATTTTATCGCGTTCTGGTTGAAATGTATATAATAAGGAGAAAGGGATTTAAATTCATTTTTATTAAATTCATTTTCATCTTTGCATTTACCTTCTAAGGATATTTAAATCGCCAGGCAAAGTTTAATTTTACATGTTTTCATATAAATTATTGTATTTCCTATATTTTCAAAGTTAATCAAATCGAATAAAGACTCAAAACAAGAAGAGAGAGACCGTCGATATATCGGATATTCGACTTTTTCAGATATTATATCGGACGTTGGTACTTAAAAGGTAGTACTTAAGAAAGTATATATAGTACATTTTCTAGAGAAATTAATTTCTTTTTACATTGTTACGGCTCGGTAAAATATTATCGATGTGACTTCAAAGTGAAACGCGTCGTAAAATGAGACCTGCACGTTTCTAATCACGTTTGACCGTAATACACGGCTGATAATACGCAAAAAAGGTTGCGTTAGCCACAGTGTTGTGTTAAGTCACTCGATCTAACTTTATTCTTTCCCACGTGTCTATTGGCTTTCTCTGATTTTATCAATTTCAATTCCGCAGAACTTCTGCAGAAATATCATCCCCAGCTAACAGATTGAAAAGAACCTACGGATTTCGAAGGAACAAAGTCGAACCTATTGGCTTGTCGTAAGAAAACCACATTTTCGTTTTTAATTCTAAAAGAGGACACGAGCCCGTATCTACGTATGCACATTTCGTTCATTTTCAGGCACACTGACGCCGATAATCAAACGCCAGATCATAGCGAGGGTTCTATGATTTGCAGTAAAGAGGTGACAGAGATAATCGTACCACGAGCAGAATTCTAGAAAAATATCCCTTCGCTAAAAATACTAATCACACGCTAGTCTTTTATAACGCGATATTTGATGAAATACTTTGTAGGTGATCGTTGCGGACGAATCTTCCCTCGAACCAAAGCAAGTCTGCGCAGTTTGCAAGAGGATACAGGTTAACTTAAGACACCTTGATGCTCAATACACCCGTATTTGGAAATATATTTTATCCTGTGTCTCATTTTCATCAGGTACCTGCGTCGTCGAGTTTGAATCAGTACTACACTTATCACAGAGACAAGAAAGGACGATTCTACTGTGAATATTGCGCGACTCCGAGTTTAACTACCAAAGTATTAATCGATGCACACATATATCGCACTGCATATTGCAGCGTAAAGCAGCGCATAGTGCAACGTTATGTTTCAACGTTTCAGGTGTCGTATAAAAGTGGCCAGAAGAGTTTGAAGTGTGCAAGATGTGGCAGTTACATACACGCGAAGAATATCCAAGTAAGAAGTTTAGTTGCCATTCTCTGTTTTACCGAGTTGCGCTACTTGCTTCTTATTTTGATTTTCAGGGCACTAGAAATAAGTCTGACAGTTGTCCACACTGTGGTCAAGCGTGGACGCCTGCACAGTCAAACGTGGCAGGGCAACATTCACGGAAAAACTGACAAAATGCGTTCTTAGAGAAATAAGGGGAAATGCTCGTGTATATAAATGAAAAACTATATGACTGAGAGAAGAAGCAGGCAACAGAGTTATAAGTATTCGATCATTGAAACTTAATTAAGTAATAATTCTTGACATACAACTAGCTGTGTGTAAAATATTGAGCAAAGTATTCTGGAACGTTATTTTATTTCATTAGACAACGTCGTTGATTACAAGAGAAAAAATGTTAACAATGTTACGTGGTCATGGTCGATTGTAAAATATTTGTATGTATCATAAAATGTCATTGTGTCTTAACATTATTTCTAGTGTTTATAATAAATTATAATTTGCGCCTAAAAATTGTGCCTTCCTTTGAACGTCGGTTGTACGAGCTATTTGATTGGAAGAATGATGTACAATAAGCGATTACACACGGAAACACGAAGATACAAAGGATCGAAGCTCGAAAAAGTTTAACAATTTATTCAGCTTCGGAAGACAGAAGTATATGCTACATATCGCTAATATAAAATTATATAAAGATTCTCTCTGTCGATATAGATTTTTATGATTACAATAATAAGAAACAACGATTAGCCTAGTAGCTAGCTTATAATTATTAGTAGCTAACTTGTAATTATTCTTTGGTATAAAACGAGTTTACTTCATCACGTAATAGAAACTCTTGGAGCGATAAATTAATCCACTAGGAACGTCAGCTTATAAAATTAAAAATTTTCCACTCTATATTTAAGTGGAACAATAAAATGTGGAAATTTTTTGGGAAAAAAATTGTGGACGCAATATTTACGTGGAACATGTTACAAAAAGAATCACTAAGTATATATGCTTAACAAACAAAATTGTATCACAAGATTGAGAACAGTGATTGTAAAAAAGAAAAAAAAAAAAGACAAATCATTAATTTCTTTCAAATACTGATTAGCAAAATCTCCCAATTCGACCATGGCACACACGTCACGATATCATACTGTTATCTCGAACATTAAATTTATAATATCGATCGCAAATTGTTTCTCTTTCAGTTATTCTAATTTCTACTCAAGAATCGCTGTTCACCAAGATAAATGAATCCAACAAACATCGAATTTCAGAGAATATCAGCATGAATTCAACATCAAACATCTATGTTTTCTAAATATATATATATATCTACGTTATATAATGGCACCCAACGAAGCAAAACAATATTTCATAATCACATCACTTTCTACAGCAATAATCTGTGCTCTTTATAATTAATCTTTAAAGTTGAGATCAGTGATTGTAAAAAAAAAAAAAGAAAAGAAACAAACCACTAATTTCTTTCAAATACTGATTAGAAAAATCTGCCAATTCGACAATGGCGCACACATATAATTACCCCAAACATTAAACAATAAAAATTAATTTCGATAATAATTTTCTCTTCTATCCCAATTGTTTCATTATTATCGAATGTTATCACGGATTCAACTACGTTTGAAAATACATCTTTTCTGGCAACAGTTTTAAATATATATATATATATATCTTTGTTGCGTAATGACACCCAAACGAAGCAAGGCAATACCTCAGAATACCTCGCATAGCTTTCGACAATAATAATCGACGTTCTTTGCAATTAATCTTCAAAGTTTTCGAAACTTCTCCTCAAACTGCAACTTATGTTCTGCGAACGTCGTGTCTTTCATCGGGTTAATAGGATTCATGCGATTCTCGTACGCGAATCTTTCGTCAAAGTTCAACGTAGTACTCAAGAGGGAATCGTAATTTCGCTGCAGCGAGTTGCTAATCATCTGATGATGGTTCAAATACTTGTAATCGTATGCAGTTCTGTTTGGTATCACTGACACGCTTGCAGGTTGTTCCCGATAATAATTCTCCGTGGGCAGAAATTCGGGAGGGAAGGAACCGATCGCTGTCGGTTTCACGTCGTTCGACGAAAACTGTTGGGGGAAATATCCGCGACTCGGTTCGTCGAGAAACGCCGGTAACTCTCGAACGTTTTGTAAATTGTACATCAAATTTTGACTTGGATACTGGACGTAGTCCATTCTGTTATTCTGCTCTGCAGCACTGATCGCGAAATTCTGGCAGCAACCGTTATACTGATAACAATTTGCAAGTTGGCGGTTAGCTTCGTTCCACGGGTGAGGATGCAGGAAATTATTCGACAACTGGCGAACGCTATTTTCTACGGGGACGTGTTCGCTATTATAGATAGTCTGCTCTTGGTTAACGCAATTTTTAGTATCGTTCTCGGTTGTAATGTTCAAGCCTCGAGAGAAATTTTCCACGAAACTGCCGGGCAAGTCCCAACCGTTAACCGATTGGAAATCGTTCAAAGATAGCCTCGGTGAATTGAAACTACCTTGACGATGACAAGAGCAGTCTGCTCTGCAATTGTTCACCAGATCGCAAGGGACGTTTCTCGAGAAATTTTGTATACTGCCCAAAGTCTCGTTCGAACGTCTTTGCAGGCCGTTCCACTTTGGATTCCTCGAGCGTTTTCCTCTATATAGGTAGGACAAGTACGGACCAGTTGCAGGAACGATCATTCTCGATTCGTCCTGTTGCGCGCAGTTCTTAAAGAGTTTGTCTTGCGAAGCAAAGTGATCTAGACTGTATCTCAGATTTTCATTCACGTCGGACGTTTGGCCGAGGTCTGCTTTGGTTTTGCACTTCTTCCTCACGCGCTCCACCAGCAAGCAATTGGAGCAAACCGAACTTCTCGATTGGCACTTTTCAACCGTGTACTGATCCGTTGGACTATCGAGACCTCTTGAAGAATCGAACGACGCGGCTTTTATCGGTCGACCTTTCTGAATCGGTGGCTCGGTTGATCTTTGCGTTCGTTGATTGTTCGCCGCGTTGGATCGTTTATCGCTGCGACCCGCCACTTTTTTATCTCTAATTTGCTCGATAAAGGTTTTCGTTATTTCCACGTTGCCCTCCTCGTCGCACGTTCCGCTTTCTTCGTACTGCGCAAATTGTTGACAATTCAATAGATTTATTTCAAACGGTACATTCATTCCGGTTAATCGAAAGTTGACGAAGAGAGGCTCTGCGTTGGCAATGTCGCTGTTTGCAAATCGCGATAAACTTTCCGATAAACCTTGGAGAATATATCTTTAAAACTATTCCAATAATACAATGTAACGTGCAAAACGACTTGACATATAATACAAGAACATAAAAATGAATATATACATATATAGATAGGGAAATTATGAGTTACCTAAATTCGTAATGAAAAATAAATAAATAATCATATGGCGAATAATATTACGATGAAATCTCTCTCACGAATAGTTAACCTGATACTCAGATTCTATTAATTGATGTATGTTATTCTCTTAGGAAATTATAAATTGTTTATCTCGCTCTGCGCTTGACAAGCGAAGCAAATGGAGTACTCAGTTAACTACAAAAATTAAAAAGAAAAAAAAAAGAGAAAAAAGAAACTGATTATCTTCTCTCGAGGCTATGATATGCGGTACAAGCTGGTTATGGTAATTTTGTTCGACAGTTACGAACCATCTCTGCCTTGGCCAAGTAAATCCATAATTTCCGCCACGTGCTGAACTTGTGTTGATCGCTGAAGTTGTAGCGCATTTCCTTCGAGGCGTATCTCGTTGCCAAGGGACTACGATAGTCACAATGTTCACTGTTTTCGACCGTCGACAAATTCATTTTCTTCCCCGTATTTTAATTCGCCTAGTATTACAGCACGATACTCGAAAAAATACTTTGTATAACGCGAGAACGAAGAAGCACGCGATCAGCTGATTTACTCGACACGTTTGACGCTGCGCAATCTCTTTAATGAACGCCGACGCTCGCGCTGCCTCTTTTGGCGGGAATACGAACTAATAGATTCAAACGATCTTACCACGCCGTGGAATAATGTTTCTTCATTCTTTTGCGCGTAACTTTAATTTGGAAGAACAGTTGTTTAAAGTGTTTAACGCGAAAGAAAAATTGATACACGCTGAACATATTAGTGTATATATACTGCTGAATATATTATAAATTTGGAGACTGAATATATATTATAATTTAGTATACGAAGGTAAACGAATCTTTAATAAATTTTGAAATAAATAATTATTTTGATTATCAATTATTGATCACTAATTATGTTTTTGAATGAATAGAAATAATAACTCTGCGACTGTAACCTACGTTATAAGAAAGGATTTTCCTGTTATGTGTGTGTGTGTGTGAGAGAGAGATTATTGCCTACTTCAAGATATTCAAGATAAAAATATTGTTTAAAATTTTAATATTTACAGAACAAAAATTATATTTAACAAAATGCCACTTGTAGAACACGACGAAATTATAAGACACATCCTATTTTTAGAAATCAATGCGTGAACTTTATTTTTATCTTTTACCTTGTATTAATATTACTCATCTTTTTCTCCCAATTGTTGTTTTTGGATAACCATAGGGATGTTTTTTCAAATAATTGTTAATGTTGTAGTATTTTAAAATTTTTCAAAAGACAGTAATATTTGTTCTTCAAATTATTAATGAAATTAATTTCGATATTGTTTAGTTTTCTTTTATAAGATATTCAGTTTTTTTTTAAAATGTAAACACACTATTTTTAATACATATTTAATACATATTTAATACACGTTTAACATTCTCTATTTGCTTTACCTATTTAAAGAAAATTGTCTTATAATTTTGTCACGATTGGAAAATCGTACTTTCTTAAATATAATTGATATTTTTTAAGTGGTAAAACGATAATTCTACGTGAAAGAATGTATCTTGAAGTAAACAATATTCCTGTCTGAAATCGAAATTTCCCATTTGCGTACGCATGCAGATAAAAAAAAAATTCCTTCTTATAACAGTTTCCATGATTTTTATCTCATAGTATAAATAAATAATAAATCATTGTGTGATTTGTTTTTTGTGGCATTGTCGCAACAGTTATAAAATAATTCGACAAAAAGGTTGACACTCTCTTGGTTACCATGGTTATTATGTTCAATAAACTAGGTACGATTGTCATTTCTTTCTTGAAAGCGGAAATTGAATTGCGGCATGAATTTGTCGCGATGTAAATTACAATGAAGGTAACCTAGGATCCAAGTATGCGAGGTTTTTGACTCTGGTAAATCGCAATGCCATTTGCAGAGGCAACTTAACAAGGGAAAGTACCCACGTTCCATTTTCTCATAATTGACCGATGTCATTGTTCTTTATACGCGAAAGGAAAATCGTATTGCCACTGATGGCGATTTGCAAACGCTAACCTCCCTTCGTCAAATTCTTATCGTTCATTCGAACGTAATAATGTTATTTTTTTTTTAAATTAATTTGAGTCTGAGTTGAAATTAATTTCTTTAGACTAACTCAAACAGAATCGTTATACGCACCACGTTGAAAGGTGTCATATTCGCATTAGCCCATTCTATATTGACCTCGCAATTTTTAAAAAGCGACATCGATTCAGGCACCAGTATTTTCCTCGCCATGGCAGCGCTTCGATGAGTTTTATACGAAACCAAAACGTAGTAAAGGCAGCCATTAGAGTTTCTATAAACGGCCACTTTATCAACGTCATCGGTCATCTCATAAATTCTCTGAAAAAACACAAAAAAAAAAAAAAAAATGAAAAAATTAAGCAATTTGCCATTAATGGAACGACACAAGAGGGAACCAGTATAGAGAAACAAAATAAATAATAAGTCGGAAAATATCAACAACCAACCTTGACGATGGATTTAGAATCGAGATTTCGAGGGAGGCGATTAATACACAGCCGACAATTATTGACACTTGGAACAACACCGAGTCTTTTCCCCGGGTAGATTTCGTAATGATGCAATTCTTTAACAGCACGAGCTGCCTCCTCTTCGGTAGTGTACATGATAAAACAGTAACCCCTGTTTGTGCCAGAGAACTCCATCATCAAGCGTAACTCGTAAATCGTTCCTACTGAACTGAATATGTGAACAATGTCGGGTTCGTAATAATTTCGCGGGATACTGCCGACGAAAATCTCGCATTTCGGGCCAGGAGGTGGTCCAGTCCAGCCTGGCGGTGGGCCGAGCTTCCTTTGACCATTAACTTGGGTCAACGTCAACTGATTATCAGTTAAGAATTTTAACAGTTTTAAATCGGTTTCCATTTGTTCCTCTCTCCTCAAGTCTCGCGCTTTGTTGGCGGTCCGTGACTGTGCGACGAATCTCCGAGTGCTCGCTTGATTTGTTTGAAAATGATCATTATTAATATTCCTTTTGTTTTTTTCTTAAACGAGAAATAAAAATATTCTGACGTGGAATATACGCGTGAGTTTGATATTGATTAAACAGTGCACGCTCTTGATAAAAGTATAAATATACAAAACATAACAATAAGCATAAGATAATTGCAAAAGTAACTATATCGATTTTCAATGATACGTTTGTCTTTTTACAATGAATAAATGAGAAAATAAAATACCATCAACTACGTATTTGATTATTCGGGAACCCGATCGTTTTTTTTATAAATATCACTTACCAGTATCACTCACCTAATTGTTGTTCAATATTGTCTTCGGCGTTAACACTGTTGAGAGACTCGTTTGATTGTGGAATCGTCGAAACAGATTCCATTTTTTTCTCTCTTTATCGATCTGAACGTCGCACTTTTTAATTATTAATTGACATTTGCCTCTTCTTTCTGTTACAATTCTGTCATCAATCTGTCACGTTAAACCGTCATCTTATAAGAAATTGATTTTATCTGCAGTTGCGACGAAATACGAGCGAGTAAAGATCTATCTATTGGAAATCTTTTTGAAACGGAGAACAGATAACGGGGAAGAGTCGGAGGATCGATGATAAATAGCACGCTTTCAAGAAGACTGATGCACTAAAACCATGGCTTTATGGGCCAAGTGTACGAGATCAGATGGCGCTTATTTCGGATTGGTTGCCTCCTCCTCCATTGGATAAATTTATTTTTTATTTAGTCTTTGGAGGGGAGATATGTATTCGTTTCTTCCTTCATCCTGTAAATCCTTTTCCCTCTCGTTACGCATCGCCGCTTTCTTCTGTTTTCCTTCGTCGAGTCCATTTCAGAAGATGCGTGTGTCGATGTTTGAATATCTTCCCAATATTTTTGTTCTTCTTTTTTTTTTTATTTTATTTAATTTAAAGAGCCTTCTCCACTCAATTGTTAAATACATATATTGCAATTATTAATTATTACATTATTACAATCTCTTGAATGTAATAGTTTTTAAATTAATATATATAACGTGATATTTCTTCTGAGAGTTCAAACTTAGCGCGAATTATTATGGTTATTTTAGTGAATAAAGAATGAATAAAGAAATTTTCCACCTACTGCTCGAGGAAAGTACGTACTTTAGATTCCTCGATGTTACATTGTTTCTTGGGCAACCTGTTGCCCGCTCGAAGACTGAGACCAACGACTGTTCGGATAGAGTTTCTGATATTACAATGTAGGCGAACTGTCATGAACGCGACGAAATTGGAACGTTGTGAAGAGAAAGAAAATCATTCGTAAATAAAACGTCTTATACAAAAATTCTGGAATCTTTCTCAGTTAAAACAATTTCTAAAGGAAATTCGACTTTGCGTGAAACAATGATTGTACTTCCGGTGAAATAAACTACAGTATTGAAGTTTCAGATGATTCACAGCTATTACAGATGACTCAAGACGAAAATTATATTACGCAGGACCTCGAATTAACAATCGTGTCGTATCAAGCATCGTTGCAATCTTTTTTACATTATTCTAAGCTCGATCAATGTTGCTGTTATGATGCATCGATGAATCATTTGACGGTTTTCATGCACGATTATTTATCAGTCAAATTAACACATTCTAGAAATTTCTGAAAACGTTAAGAAGAATTCAGAACTCCAAGGGAGATAAAAATATTTTCATTTCTTTCTCTATTTCTCTTATCAGTTGGTAAATGAAGGATCGTACTCGAGGATCGTAGTCGAAGAAGAAATATTCTGAAATTTTCCTTATGTTGACCGGTTCGTTGTAGCCTTATCAAACCGGTTCAAGGTATTAGCTGGTTCGTTAACCATTTCCATCGTATTTGTTGCGAAAATTCACACTGTACGCCGCGCCAATGCACCGTGCGATAATAGCATTGTTACCCGCAGTACGCAAACCTTATTACGTGACACAACGTAGCCCGTGCAAGTTGAACCACGATCCTCTCCGTCTCATCAGTTGTCGTTGGACGCGCGCTGCGGTTCGTCCATTTGCTCCTTTTCTCGATTTCTCTATCATTTCGGTTCACTACGAACTGATTATCGAGATGGAATCGTTCATTCCTTGAAGATTTGATTCGTTCTCTTCTTTTTAATTTCACAGATACACAGGCAGGGTGATTTTATATTTAATGATTTTCGAGTTATACGTAATCGTGTCTTCCCCTGTGTAGTGTATCATTCGTGCAATTTTTCTTGATCTTTCGGATGTGATAGTGTCGGTGGACAGAGTTCTACGCGGGTTGTGACAAGCGAAATTGTACGATGAATTTCTCTACTTGACGTTGCTTCAAATGCTCGATAACTGTGTGAAAAAAAGTTTAAAAATATGTAAACGTCTTAAGAATGGTTGAACGAATGTTGTAAAACTGGAAATTGTTGGTACATAAAATTAGACATGTGGAATCGCAAGGTATTCATCAGGATTATCGAAGTGGTGAGTAACGATACTGTATATTTGTGTATTTATTTCAATTTATTTCACATTATGTTGTAAACTTCACTTTAGTCGCTGGATATGCGCCGTACATGAATATAAGAATGCCTGCACAATTTTCTTTTCAATCACGTATCAGTGTTCTCACAGTACGAAATTACAATTTCTTCGGATACTCCCACAATTAATTATCTATAATTGTTCCTTGGAACTGAGCAATACATAATTCAATTTTAACTCGCTTCTGTTTTCTTATTAAATAAATTTACCAACGTGAATATTAATTATTAATGTTTTACAGATACTGTGCATTGCCTGCGTGGTGGCACTTAGGATAACCAATGACGAAAGTCGAAGGGTGTTTCATTATCTGAGAAGCCGAAGCAGAGAATGGTCTCTCCTGAACAACGTTACGTGGGGCGCGATAGGTTCGTCATTTTGAATTACTTAGAATTTCTTGAAATTATAATATTACGATATTATTTAGAATTTCTTGAAATTATGATATTACAATATTATTTAGAATTTCTTGAAATTATAATATTACAATATTATTTAGAATTTTCTGAAATTATAATATTACGATATTATTTAGAATTTCTTGAAATTATGATATTACAATATTATTTAGAATTTCTTGAAATTATAATATTACAATATTATTTAGAATTTTCTGAAATTATAATATTACGATATTATTTAGAATTTCTTGAAATTATGATATTACAATATTATTTAGAATTTCTTGAAATTATAATATTACAATATTATTTAGAATTTTCTGAAATTATAATATTACGATATTATTTAGAATTTCTTGAAATCATATTACAATATTATTTAGAATTTCTTGGAATTATAATATTATAATATTATTTAGTATTCCTTGAAATTATAATATTGCAACTTGCTTGAGAAATAGCTGCCAAAAGTTGTAATATTTTAATTGAAGATCAACAATTAATCGAATAACGATTGATCGAGTGAAACTTTTTAGAAACGATTGATTCAAGTGAAGTTTTACGTCTTATAGTAACGTGTAAGTTCGTGGAGAGAGAGAAATACAAAACACGCAATAACGTACTTTTCTTTTCTTAATCTAGGCGCCGCTCTTGCAACCGCGACTTGCGGTGGTTACATAATAGTCACGACGGGTCTGCTTATTGCTGCTGCGACGGGAGAACTAAATGGTCGAAAAACGGTAATCCTTTCTTTCTCTTTTCTTTTCTTTTTTTTTACATTTTCGACGAAAAATTCAACGTACATTTTTCGAACGCTTGACGTCTCTCAGACAATTATACAACTCGTCGTAATTCCTTAATGGTCTTATTGTTTAGGCTCTTCAAGGTGTTCTTTCTCTTTTTGCAGGACAAGTGTCCTTCGACGAAACTGATTTTATCATAAATTGATGTTTAGGTAGTTTTTCTGTTCAACCAACGCTCCAGGCGCAGAAATTTAACTATTCCTTTTTAGCAGAAACAATAATCATATATTATAAATTAATTACTGAAAACAATTATTCAATGTTCCCACGATATTAATCTCGAGAATGAACGCATTTTTCAATGTCCTTTCCGGTTGCAAGTATTTTCTAACCGGCACTCCTCGATCGATAGCTAATCGTCGTTACAGTTGAACTGAATCACGTCGTGCTGCGTTGAAAATTATCTTTTTCAAGGTTGTTGTTTTTCATATATCTTTCAAGCTACACAGATATGGAAATTAGTGTTGGAATGAGAAATCAGTTAAATATAGATCACGCTACTTAACCATAGCGTGAGAACTCTCTAGTTGACGCTGTCATTGAGGGGCAAGATTGAAGGTATCCTTCGTGCGAGCAAGTTACGAGAAGAAGAACGTAACAGCATCCTTGACGTATGACAATTGAGTCACGTAATACGTACGCTACTGTAACTTAGTTAATGACTCAACTGAGGCAGATCGAAATTAGTTATACATACTGATCTATGCATTGAAATTTGCATTGAAAACAGACCGTTGATATTTTCAATCCCGAAGGAATTCTTAGGCGTTGTTAAACGTTGATGAATATTTTCATAGAAATATCTCACTGGATGGCAGTACAATCGCCATTGTAAAGAAATCTTGAAAAGAAATACGAATTATCGTTTGTAAACGTGTGAAGATCGTTTCGTTTTTATATGTGAATTTTATTCCGACGACAGGGTGGGGATATGAAAGAGTTTCGAGGAGTTCAGATAGAGACCCTGTTAAACGGAGGAAGTCATTAATATTGAATTATTCTTTATGTATTTTTCTATTATTTAAGGAAATATTCTTCCTTGGACTCGGAGTAATTCTTTTCGCTATTGTCGGCGCTTTGTCTATGGCATCCATTGAAAACGTCCCTGAGGATCTGATAGACAATGCCGCGATTTTTGGAGCACTGTGCTTGCTAACAGCGTTGGTTTTCATCGCTGATCTGTTAATAAGCGCGCCAAAGAAGAAGGACAAGCACGACATGACAAAACTTCTGACCGACAAAAGAGGTATTAAAGGAAAAGTCAAGTTGCCAGAAATTATTTTCATTTTTCTTTATCCTTTGCTTCGTTGTAGCTAAACGGCAGATAACTTTGACCACCGAGAAAGAATCGAAATCTCCGAAAATCAGTAGCCCCCAGGTCTCCAAAAAGGACGATAGTGGCACCGTGAACAACGGTTTCGAAAAAGTGGATGAGAAGCATCAACAGAGCTCCGCCAAAGAACAGTCTGAAGAGTTTAGAAAACGGGAACGAGATGATCGCAGCCAGCATTCGAAGGATACGCACGAGGACGAAGGGACCGACGATTTCAATCGAGAGCCGAAAGAGTATACTCAGAATTTTGAAAATGGGAAAGCTCTCAGAGACTCGCAATTGTATCGAGACTCCGAGATGCAAAAGGCTGCGAATAGGGACTCTTACAAAATGGACCACCGAATGGAAATGCCCAGAGTGGTCTACAAGGTTCAGGATATTTATCAACGTCCAGCGGATGAAATCGACACACCTCGATTTCCGGTCGAGTCGAACCGCAGAAGTGAAAGTATGTTCGCGAAGATCGTGAACCCTAGTGTGAAGATTATGAAGGTTGAACGTGACGTGGACGAAGCTATCGAGGGTTACAGGTATTTATACAGTTATGTAGATTATTGCAATATTCTATAATTTCATTAATTGTATTGATTTTTTCTTCCTAACGTTGATAGATATTCTGACACTAGTCAGTATGACAACGTGCCAATTCGAATGAGAAGTACATCGCCAAAAAGTCAGAAGAAAAGTCGTGACGTTTCTTTCAATGTTCCGCCGCCGCCGCATTATGGGAAAGAATTCGACGAGAAGAAAGACGAGATCGAAATGCTGGAAGAATGCTTCACCTCGCTTCGAACAGCGAGCACAGGAACCCAGACTCCTAATATTCGAACTCCTTCGTCAGCTGTTGATCCTGGATACGTTAAACATACTGCCAGTAACTGGCCCCAGGAATCGAGAACGAAAACGCCTGGTTCGAGTCCAAGTCGTGCGAGAAATTAACATGTAACGCACAAAAAGTAATAATTAACTCGCCGTTTTACAACTTCTTGATGACTTTGTGCGTTCGAATTAATCGTCTGATTGTTTCAGAGAGAGAGATTTGGTAGCCTTTTCTGTAAGGCACAGACATTAAAAAATACAAGATCAATTTCTACTTTTTTCTATTTGAGTATTTTTTATTTTTAATAAAATAGTAATAACTTTTAGGTTCAAAAAAAAAAATTGAATTTTTATCATTAAACTGTTATTGATCACTGCCTTTTCCTTACAGTAAATGTACCATGTATGTGTATGTTCTCGAAATGGAAAGGAGACGAAGAAAATTGAGAGACACGTAATAATTTTTGTATAAGTAGAAACTTTTAATATAAAGTTTTTAACATTTCCGTTCACATCGATACGCATACGTACAATTATTAATAATAATGTCTCCTTGTGATAAACATGTAACCGCAGTTTGTTAGTCTCCATCAGAACGTATTCATTAAAGGTATTAGCATTTAAATGGATTTACATTAACTTTTACGTATACCGTATTGTTTCTTTCTCTTATACACTTTTATATAAATAAATCGATCCTATCCAATGTCGTGACACGTTATTCATTTTCCTCATTATTCAAGATGATCGACAATTTCCTCGATTTTGAGACAAACGAAAAGAAAATTGCCCTCACTGGGACTGAAAGAAAAAGAAATCAACCGGAAAACGCAACAGCCATCGAGAATATCGACGCGTTCTGTCATTGAATCTTATTGAAAAGCTTCTGGCTCGATGTTTCTCATTTTACAGAACCGTCGTTCTCTCGTTCAGCTTTTCACACAGTTCTCTCTTTCTCTAGACATTTCTAAACGCGTATTTACAGAGTTGAGAATAATCGCTTAGATACTTTGAGCATTCGTTTCTCTTCTTCATTTCTTTCTTCCCTCTCTTCAATATATCAACGGTATGTATAAAATTAATTCTCATTCTTAAGACTGTTGTGTAATTAAATTGTCTTATTATTTTATGAAACGATGATTTGAACATTGGAATGCTGTTTATAGTTTTTAGTTCGATTCAAAGTGATACTCTTCTCTCGAGGTATGAGTTTGTGACTTATTTTTGATGCAGTCGTATAAAAAGGTATTTTTCAGACTGAGGAAAAAATATAAAAAAATACCTTGTCACGACTTGAAAGATGATTCTATCTATAACAATATCGTCAGATGAGCTGTATTTCTCTTGATTTTGTGTTCTTGTTTCTAATTGGACGTATTCACTAGTCAAAAGACACCAATTTGCTTGGTTTCTTACACGATTTTAATCAAATCGTCCGCTCTTTGAATAAATAAATAAGAAAAGAATAAAAGTAATTTTATTGACAATTCTTTGAAACTTTGTAACATCATGAGCAATTATCGAACTTTTTCTTTTCTGATGAAACTTTCTTCGAAGATGTTTAGAGATATCTCTTTCTTCATTTCGAAATCGTTTTTCTTAAATATTTATTTACAATCTATTCGTTTCTTGTTTAGACAATATCAAAGGATTGCATGTCTCTTGCAGACTGAGAATTTTATCTCATGCCGAACCCAATGCCAGCACCTTGAGCATTGGTGGCTCTTTGTTCCATGGTAATGTATTGTCTAATTAATCGCGAAATTTCGTGAGCTTGTTCAGTCTGAAGTCGGGTGATACGTTGTTGCATTAAATTACCGCATTTCATATCAAGGTAAAGGATTCCTTCCTCGGATTTCACTTTTCTCGTGGATATTACCTCGGAGTAAGGATAATGATATAGGGTTTCCTAAAAATTCGATATTGGTTTCACGAATTATCCGTCACTCTTTTACACAGAGGAAAAAAGTAAAAATCGAACTACTTACGTGTGTGATTAAATCAATGAAATGCACTCCATGCCTGTTGAGTGCCAAAATATGATCACCACCCTTCTCTTTTCCTTCAGGCACCCTTTTCACGGCGAAGAAACTAGATCCAAATAATGGCCACTTCCATAAAATCTCTGAAAATGAAGTTAAGTATTTTCTACGTGATATAAATGTCGATTAACAAGAATTAAAACATTTACCAAGTACTTGTGCTTTACAAGCAGCTACTGTATTGTGTTGCACGTTATTCCATGCTTGTTGGACCATATTTGACCACTGTTGCGGTCGTGGTTCTCTCAAACTAAGTACTGGTTTCGGTAATAAGTACTTAATTTCTTTCGTTGTTGGTTCATGGGTCATATCCGCTGCCCTATGTAAAAGAGCCGCGATTTGTGCCATATCGTACTAAAAAGAGAAGAGGAGACGTATTAATCAAACTCTCCAAACGGAATAAATTACATACTATTAATATTATTTATGTAAATCGTTGAAAAATGGAAAGACGTACTATGACTTCTTGAGGTAAATGTTCACCAGGTAAAACTAAGAGAAGACCCTCCAAATAATCTGGGGCAATTTGATTGAACACAACTTCTATATACAATGGGGCATCCAGTCGGAGAGGATAATACCATACAGATCTAAAAAAAAGATTCAATTAATGTTTTAACATTTTATTTCTTTGATTTCACAAAGGTCAGAATTGTTTTAAGTAATTTATCTTGTCAATGGAAAGATACTACGTACCTGCAGAATATTAAGTAGAAGACTTGATGATTTTTATGCAATTCTGTAGTTACATCTAGTACATATTCATCCCTGGCTAAGGGCATCGTAAATGCATCACCATCGACGATACAATATAACGAGAATTCATCCATTTCATGAGGATTTCTTACAGATATTATATTGCACATTTCTTCGATAACATCCTGTAAAAAAAAAGTTATTAACAAATTATTAATTACTAATTACTGTTATATATTTTTATATAATTTAACAATTGTAATTTATATATGTTTATATTTCTGGATAATAATTTTTGGCATTTTTGAACAAGAAATTTATAAAAATTATTATATATGTAATAGTTATATTATAGTTTTCTGGTTATTCATATGAAATTATTTCAGTAACATAGTTACTTTCATTAATTTTGATTTATTTTTAATGTTTATATCAATTTTATATTTTTCTTATGCGAAATAATGTAATTTATATCAAAAAGATTTTGGAAATACGTATGTGGTTAACTGAGATTTGAATCTAAATTTTCGCGCGCAGCTGCACTAGCCAACATGCGTAGCGTACGGTGCGCGTTCTACGATTGAGTGTCAAGAAAAGTGAAAAATTGATGAAAATAACAACGTTACGGGTCCGGTAAGCTTTTCAACTTAATCTTTGTTAATTAATTGCTTATAATTATTGTTATTTACAATGTACATTGCGTAATTACTGAAATTTTTCCGACTCTGTAATAGGCGTGTCAATTTGAGGTTAAATGGTACTAAATTTGAAACTTGAAACTATATTACATCATTATTTTATGCATTAATGAATAATCAGTAACTAATTATTATGCTTTATTATCATGTTTGTATTCTTATTAATGTGAAGATTATAACTTTTATATGCCTCCATGAAAGTTATAATCTTTATTTCAAATGACTAAATATTGACACGTCGAGTCTCAAGCTCATTCTTTAAGACACTTAATTTAGTTTATGCATTATTGTTTAATTGTTAATAATATTTTTTAATTTATCTTATATAACAATTTCATTTTATAATTTTTGATATCTTTATGCTTGTTTTTTATATTTGTATGTTTGTGTATTTATGCATTCTATAATTTTTAATCAGTTTTGAATTTAAGTATGAGTACCATGATCCATATTCTGATTACAATATAAATTAGTAACTCTTTATTATTTTATTTATGATGTTAAAATAGCATTTTATAATATAATTTAGCTATTGAGATACTGCTGTTTATGATTAATTGTATTGTTTCCTAATGTTCATATTTAATTCCATTCATTGATGATCCATTTGAATTATGCTGGTTATTGATCCATTGAATTATGTTGTTTCCTAATGTTTATATTCAATTCTATTGATTGATGATCCAATAGACTTTCATTTTGGACATTTTTTTCCAAATCTTGTTCTTTTGTCTAATTAGATAATTTCATAAACCTACCTGCACGACAGTTGTACATTTGGTGTTAATAACTCTTTCTGTTCCACCTGGTAGTCTGTAAATCTGCCTCTTTGCATTCCTACCCGCACTAATTGCCATAATTTCATCCACACTTGGCACGTTTTTCCTTCCTCCATATTTAACTGTCTTCCTGAGATTTTGCAAGCATACTGTGGCTGTTCCATGGTAAGCTCTTCTTTTATCATAAGCTGCAGTTTCCAGATATTTAGTTAGATAAGGCCTTAGACCATCGCTGCAAGTGAAGTAAGCGGCAACAATGCTGAAGATTCTCCAACCACGTTGACAACTGTCTGGATTTGGGCTCTTGTTGTTTGTAGTTTGTTTCATCAATTGACAGTAAACTTCATCACGAAGTAGTTCATACTTGTGACAATGCTGTAATTAGATTGAAAGTGGTGAGAATAATGTCCTTAGATGTTAAATTAAGATTTAGTAGATTGTTGGGAAAGAAAGTGGATTTCACTCTTTATATTTTAGGATATTAAGATTTATTATATGTATTACTTTTTAATGTAAAAAATTATTGGAAATGTATGGAAATAAAGATTGATGGTATAAAATTTATCTCCCTGTTTATGGTGGGTTTATTAGTGATGAAGGATTGCTACATGTTTTTGTAAAATAATAAGCTTGAAAAAATGAAATTTTAGAAGCTTTCCTCGGAAAAAGCATTATGAGAAATTTCTAGGAGAAATCTTTAATAAAAAAAAAAATTAGTAAATAAGAAGAAATTCAAATTCTTCGTCACTAAAAGTAGCTTGATAAATTATTATCCTCCACATCAAATTCTTGACCTAAATATTCAGCAAGTTTCACTATATTCCTTCATATAATTATATGTAATAACATCCTTGTGAATATTTCAAATCTTTATCATTTCAGCTTACTTCGTATGAACTAGAAATAAAAAGGCTGCCGAACATAGTGTTTCATTTTTCGAGATACTCGGAAAGAGAACATCGTTACTCACCATCAGAATGGTGTAAACGCATTTTACTTCGCTAGTATCTGGAGGCAAAGGTTGATCGCCCATGTACCTCATCAGACACAGAAAGCATTCCACTGCTAAGGTACTCAAATCACCGTCAAGTCTCAAAAGACTCTGTTCTATTGGCACAGGAGAATATTTTACAAGATCCACTTGTTCCTTCCAAGTCCATTCCGCACCATCCTGTTGACCTTTGTTCTTCTTATTCTTCTTTTTACTCTTCAGTGATTCAATTACTTTAAGGGATCCACTGATGGATCCGTCTGCTGTCTTCAGCATCTCAAACCTGTAAACATTGAAGTAGTATTGTTTAATAAAAGTCTGCTTTCATTGTAGGAAGTTGTAATCGGCAGGAAGGGATTGCTAGAATCAGTGTAACGAAAGAACGGGACTCAGGGGTGACATAAGTAATAGTTTTCCAAAACGGAAGACATCTCGTTGGAGGAGTAGGTAGCCGTAAAGGGGATTTCCATTGCAGGATGTTGCTACAGAGACAAGGGGAAAAAGTCCCGTTGAGAGTGCTGGCTGGGTGGTCGTCACTTGTCAAAGTCACGTTTAGGAAGTCTACATTCTAGTTAGGCGTTTTAATGATTCCTCCTCGACTTGGTCGAAGGTTGATCTCTCTGTATCCTGTCAGTTCGTTATCGTTTTTACGGCGAGTCATCGTCTCACTTTGATACCTCGTTACAAATCCGTTTCCTGTGTAAAATCACTGCCAGATATTTCTTTCTAAATCTCTACGAATAATGAAAATACGCACAATGAATAGTGAAAACTTCTAATTAGTTTTAATTACTTGTACACGCCGGTACAGTTAGTCGGTCACTGAATAGCAAAGACAATTAAGGTACATTTGCAATGTCGATTCTCACTTCTTTTAGAATTTCATACATTCAGTTAGAATTTAATATTGCAACGTACATGGTTTTTAGAAATCTATTCATTAATAAATCTGCTCTGCTCCATCTAGATCTTTCTTCTTTGACATGTTTCTTCACCAAGAAGAAAATCCTCGATGATAATTAACAGAATTTAATTGACGAATTCTACGTGAATCAAGTAGATCGAAGTTTTCTCGTTAAGTCGGGAATCACTTGGAAACAATAATTCTCGTAACATTGAACGACGCCAAATGGAGACGAGCTGTACTCGTTAGTCGCGCGTTCACTAAGATGGTCGATGTTACTCTGAGAACTGCAGTGCGTTATGCTTTCTCAACACGGCTGGCTGCTGTTTCTTGCGTAAGAGGGACTAATTAGTCGGTTAACATTAATTTCTCTTTTATTGCGATTTACCTCCTTTTGGTAAAATCGTTCTCCGTTCATTTAGGATGATAAGGGAGCAGGAATTTGTTTCTCATTGCGAGAAACGTATTTTTCGATACTTACTCGATCCAAGTCGAGAGCGTGTAACATATTGCGAAATATGAATAAGAAAATACGTTACAATCTTCATCTTTCTTTCTTTTTTTTTTAAATTATTAAACAGGCGCGTCGAAATTTCATTCAAATAAAGTAGGAAAACTTCAATTTCCTTCGATTGAATTAACATTAAGAATAAGAATTTTATAGTAATTGTAAAACGAATTGAGACAAGTAGAATACTAACTTCTCCGTGCTTTGTCTAAAGTTGAGCATGGCGTACTGCAGCAGAGAGTGTTTTCCGTCGTTGACGACCGGCCCGCTCTCGTAGATGCCATCTTCTTGCAATCTGCCGTTGTCTTCCGGTTGCCGCCATTCCTGATTCGGGCTGAGCCGCTGGTTCTGCTGGTTTTTCTGATGGTTCGTCTGGTTTGTCGCCGACACGTGGTTCGGCACACGACCGACGGACACGTGGTTCTCGTGGTTCGAGATAATATGATTAGCCTGGCCGTGGGATTGAACGTGATTCGACGTGCTGTGATTCGCCTGCGATTGGATCGATTTCGTGATCTGAGACACGTGATTCTCGTGATGATTCGACTTGTGCAGCGGCTTCTGCTCCACCTGCAACCGTAACGTACCATTTTTTTTAATTATTCTTACTTTACTTGATTTTCTGAATTTTAAAAAGCTCGAGGTGTCCAACTCGAACGATGTTTTCGATCAAAATTTGAAATTTGGAATCCTCGAGCACGCATTCGTTTAAATCTTTTTTGAAAGAAATCTCAAATTAGAACCAAAATCGCGAAAATGTCACGAACGTCTACTTTTATCGTATTGATTAATTTATCGCTATTAATTATGTCTTTGATATACGGCGAAATGTATCGGGTATTTATAACTGAGAAAGTTGGTCTTTAAGCGAATAGTGATATCGTTTACTCTAACGACCAAATTGAACTTTCACATGTCTCTCAGGGTAGGGGAGGGATTGTCGATCTAGAGCGGAGGAAATCGTTTCACTTTGAATTGAAAAAGAAAAAGGAGAAGAGATAATTACAAATATTATAGCCGATGGATTTTCATAAATCACCAATAAGAAAAACGCCAAGTGAATATCGCCAGCTAAACTACTACTTTTCATTTCCGGCGCGATGCTCTTTGCCACACTGCGTTGGTCAAAGGTCTGGATCTTGCGTTCCGCGAACGAGCGTCTTCCGTTTTCTTATCGCGATCGAAAGATCAATTCGCGTTCGAATGCGTAAACTGCCGGTGTAAAAACCTCGTGTGTGGGCGTTACGTCGCCCTGATTTTCACGACGGTTTCTCGACCTTTTTCTATTATTCATTTTCTCTTTCGGCTCGCGTTTCCTGCTTTTCACCGACACATCCACCTCGAGATCGATCTCGCGAACGAGAAAACGGATTTCCCCTGGCACGCGAGCCAGACTCGATAAAGGAATTCGAGCAACCACGCTAACGTCCAAAAATTTTGTAAAGTATTTCTTTCTCTCTGTGTGTGTATAGTAAAATTTCTCTATTCTACCTAATAAAATTAAAATACGTGATGATTCGAAACTTCTCGTTTCTTCGTCTTGCCTCCAATCAGACTTTGGTTATTAATCGAACGATTGCAAATGAATAATCCACGAATGATCTATGACCGACTTTTTCCTTCCTTTTTTTATCACATCACATCCGTGTAACTATACCGGTTTCATAGACGAGCTAGAAACTAGAATCTGCTTAAAAGTTATTCAATTACTAAACGTCATAGAACGATAGTTTAGTTGGGGGGGAAAAAAATCGGTGGCATCCGTTGTACGCGTTTTTACACTTTTCCAACGGCGGTAATGTCGTGAAAGTCGAAGTTTATTGCTCCACATGATTGCCATTATTATTACCGCAGCTGACATATATTTACTAAATTGCGATTTCTTTCATCTGGAACTGTAATTTTTCCGCGGCGCTATTGCAGGAATGATACTGCAATAACGTAACTCTCAATTTGCTCGTAATTCTCAATGTAATAAGTAGCCATTGTCCGAAAATAATGGAACGTACAGTGCATTGTCAATTTTTGTTTCTTTCGAGTTTGTACGTTATTTTAGGAACAGAGTTTTCCTTATCAGGAAAGTTTTTCTATCAAGCTTTTTTTTAGACTCGCGTCTCTCGCATTTTAATGACAATTAATTCGGACGATAAAAATACATAAAATACCACAGATTAATAAATAGCGTAGCACCTGGTATATCGATAAACTGAAACTCTGCTGAAACGAAACCTGATTGTGCCTGAGCGAGTGAGATAAGCAGATGTTGACCCTGACCCACATAATCGTTAATGCAACGGTGGTAAAACGTGGGCACACATAGTTACGGCAATGGTATTAATAAGAATAACCATCCACTTGTTTCTCTCCGGCCTGTTTGTGAAATAAATTGCGCCGCAATCCTATCAGGGATTTTCGCCGCGTAATCTCTCAAATCGTATATCTAGGTACAACGTTTCATTTATCATAATTCTCAAAAAAAAAAAGAAAATTATCTCGCGTTTCCTTTCGAGATTGATATCGAATTTTCCACCTATTCTTCTTGGTAAATGGTAATTCAAATGGTAATTCAAATCAGAAGCCAGACGGACATCGGGAAAAATTAAGATACGAAACTCGTCATGAAAGGAGGTAAGCACGCTGTTTTAGGCGTTTTTTTTTTTTTTTTTTCGTTAACCTTAATTGCCGGAACGAACAATACGACTCTAAGGTGGCGTCGTTAATTCTCTCGAAAGTTTTTAATCGTCACGCTTGTTGCACTCCACGCGGCCTTTAATTACGGTATCTTTACCACCTGGTAACATTTTACTAATATCGCGGAACAGTGCCGATGTAAACAAGGTCGGTTGTACGAGCACGCGGCGAACGCAGTATCTCTCCTGCGTTCTTTTTCGACACTTTATATCGTCCGCCTAACGGTAAAAATTTTTTACACTTCCGACGATTTCTCGCTTTTGGAAATTGCTCGTCTTTTGAGTTGATCTCTTAGCATTGAAAATACATTTTTACGTAATTAGAGCATCGAGGATAACGCGTCTCGATCGATCTTTGTTGATTGTTAAACGTACGAGTTGACGTTGATGGTTTTTTTTTTTTTTTTTACGAAGAACATTACGTCAATGCTTTACGCATTAATTACGTATAATTATCGAGTATCGAATGATACTCATTTGGTGAGAATGATTTTTCGATCGATCATCGAAGGAAAAAATAACCGATGGTTAATATTTCGTTGGTTTAACGACAGTTAAGTAACTTCTTTTCAATTATCCTTTCAGTTATTGTTGCTTTTTGTCAATTAAAATATGTTACGCATACGTGGCACAAATCGTAGATCTAAAATAACTCGCGCATTCGCTAGAGATATTATATAATTAAATCAGCTCTGATCTCTTCCTGTGTTATATAATTTGATAGAAGTCGTTGGTTGGTTAATAATCGGCTCGAATATGTGTTTAACTACTAGCAATACCGCTCACGAAACGCGCGTTACACGTAACATAATGGAGAAAGAAAAAAAAGGAGAAAAAGAGAACATCGTTAGACAAAATATCCAATTTGCAACTAATTGGTTATCCAGTTTTCGTGCCGCGGATAAACGGAACAAGCGTAGTAGCAAGTGCAATTAGAGATTTCGCGGTTAATTTGTGATTTATTCGCTGCTGTATTCCTCGCCTCGTTGAAATAATAAATATAAAGTAGTACGATAGAGCGAGCTGAGAATCAAGAGCAGGATTTACGAAGTAATGTATTAATCGGGGACAGGAATTTTTATCGGAATCGTGACCTGGTAGCTCTTGACCTTCTCGTCGAGTTTCTTCAAGGTCTCTTGTATCGTGGTGAGGGTCTTGTCGTTCGACTTCTCCTCCACCTGCGTCTCGTTCTGCGTCCTCAGCTCCTCGAATCTCTTCAGGATCTCCCTGACGCTCAGCTTGCTTCCATCCGCGTTCTCCTCCGTGATCGTCTCCATTTTCGAGACTTTCCGCTCCCCGTTCACTTTGCCAGCGATCTGATCGCTGTCGTAGAAATCCTGGATCAGCTCGTTCACCTGGATGCCCTCGGTGACGTTTTGACTCTGTTTGGCCGGAGATTGAGCTCGATGTTTCGTCTCGCTGCCAGGACCAAGCGTCAAAGGACTCGAGTTCCTCGAGTTTCTCAACAAGCAACCCTCCTCGATCCTCAGCTGCTCGATCGTCGGTTGGGCCGGACGATCGCAGTTGGTCGTGTTGATCATCGAGTTGACCGTCGAGGCAATGGGACTCAAGTAAGGCTTCTGATCCAATTTAGACATGTCGATCCTCGGTATGTTCTCGTATTCGAACTTCTGCTGACATTTCGTGTCTTTCTTGATCGATTCCACGCCTCGGTGGATTTGCTTGACGTTGTTCTTGTTCACGTCCAAATGACCGGACTCCGTGGACGTCTTCTTATCTTCCGGAAGCTTCTTCTTCCTTCTGCACTCGTCCTTCGCGAAAAATTTAATGAACCTGTTCCTCGGCTCGTTCTTCGGCGCCTTTTCACGGTTGGAGGCCTTCTCCAAGAACGCCCCGGAGTCGTCCGTCTGCCCGTATTCGTCGCTGCTCAAGTCCGACTCGGAGGACTTCACCAGCAGGCTGTCCGGAGAATTGGTCTTGCGATCTTCGTCGGAGAAGTTCTTGTGATCGAACTTCCTATGATCACCGAGATTCCCTATGCTTTTTCTCCGTGGGCCAAGCTTCGAGTCGTGGTCGTCGTAATGCTTCCTGTAGTCCTCGTCCACGCGAGGGAACAAGTACTCGGACGATCTCTTCCCGTCGAGCTTCACGTTCTTCCCATTTTCGCTCGTTTCCAGTTTACGAAGAAACTCGGACCTCCTCACGATCCTTTGAACGTTGTTGAACGGCTTCGGCTCGATTTTTCTGGTGGACTCGTTCTCGGAGATCTCCGAGGGATCGACGAACTGCGAGAGAATCTCCGGCCGATGCTTCGGCTTCTTCCTCAGAGTTGTCGGCAGTTCTGCCCAGTTGCTCGACAGTCTCTTGGAGAAGATCCCCTCGGTATCGGAAACCTCTCTCTCCATTTTCGTCAGTTGACTTTGCACGTTGACTCGATCGAGCGCATTTGGATCTGTTTAGTCATAGAGACACCAGTCGACCATTCTGTGGTTGTTCGATCATCCACCGAATTTGTCCGAGATGACGATTCCGCGAATCTTTAGGTATTGATTTAATTATCAAGTGATCGTCAAGCTTTTTTCGTTGAGAGAATGTGGAGGAAATGTTCCCCGAACGTACCGTGCACTGTGTGGTTTTCATTCAAAATTTACGCGCGCGAATCTGGAGTACATAGTCACAAGGACTCGTGAATTTTCTCGAGCGGCTCGATGCCGCGAAAATAACCGCTGACACGAGTGTCTTTATTGTGTTAAAGTGCAGCGAAACGTTTCGAGAACGTCACCGTAACTCGAAACATCGCGCTGCGAGCAAAGGGAGTCGCTTTCATCAAACTCGATTTCTGCGTGACACAGGCCATCGAGCACAACGAACGTATAGAAATTATATTTCATAGAATGCAATTGACCTTGATTCCCCAAA